CCTTTTAACTGTTCTATACTATTTTTGTATTTTTATTAACATACCTTTTAACTGTTCTATACTATTTTTGTATTTTTATTAACATACCTTTTAACTGTTCTATACTATTTTTGTATTTTTATTAACATACCTTTTAACTGTTCTATACTATTTTTGTATTTTTATTAACATACCTTTTAACTGTTCTACACTATTTTTGTATTTTTATTAACATACCTTTTAACTGTTCTATACTATTTTTGTATTTTTATTAACATACCTTTTAACTGTTCTATACTATTTTTGTATTTTTATTAACATACCTTTTAACTGTTCTATACTATTTTTGCTTTTTTATTAACATACCTTTTAACTGTTCTATACTATTTTTGCTTTTTTATTAAGATACCTTTTAACTGTTCTATACTATTTTTGCTTTTTTATTAACATACCTTTTAACTGTTCTATACTATTTTTGTATTTTTATTAACATACCTTTTAACTGTTCTATACTATTTTTGTATTTTTATTAACATACCTTTTAACTGTTCTCTGTGTAATTAAAACTAAAGTAACCAGCCTCATTAAAAAACTCAATTGACAAACTTTGGTTTAAATTTTCAAAAAAAAGTTTTAATTTTTTTTTAATTTGATTGATTTTTTTTTCTTTGTCGTTTGATGAAATTTACAATCAGAAAGATTGTACATGTGTAAATGGCCGAAGCAACAAGAAGACGTATATTGTCTTGTCGCCGAATCTCGTTTACATTGTCGTCTTTACATTGTCGTCAAGTTTATGTAACAAGTTAAGAATTAAAAAGTTAAAAATTTACAAGTTAAAAATTATATAATACAACACAATATATTACAAGTAGAAACTGTATAATTAGATATACATATATATATATATACTTTTTTTTTAGTTTTATTTTTCATTTTAATAAAAAGTAAAAAAGAAATAACTTTTGACAAAAAAAAACGAGTAGTGATGGCTTTTTTCAGTTTAATTATTATAGGTACTAATTTCAAAAGGAAATCAAGATTTTTTTTTTCCAATAAAAAAAGTTTAGATTCTTTTTTAAATGGTTCTAGGGAGAAGTTCAGAAGAGTTTTATTTTTAACAATATTTTTCAAAAAACTTTTCCATATAAATGGTCCTTGGTGATTAGTTTGAAATGAACTGAGTTTTAAAAAGATCTTGGAACAACAAAATTATCAATTGAAAATTTTATGGGGTATTTCAGTGAAGATAAAGAGTGAAATATATTAGAAGATAAACCATGTTTTGAAAAACATTAGAAGCATAACTTGGTATATATTAAATTTATAAACATTGTATGTATTTAGTTCCTTTAAAAGAAATTCACCATTAACAGTTCTGTTAACGCCAAATATAATCCTACATGCATGTTTTTGTTTGCTAAAAATTTTTTGAAACTTTTCATACTTGGTACTTCCCCATGACGTATTTTAAAAGGAAAGATAACTATGAATAAATGAAAAACATATGATTTTTAAAGACTCGATATTAAGAAATAGTTTAACTATATATAACATTGAAATATTTTTGAAGATTTTGTTTTCAATATACTTAATATGATATTTCGATGATATTTTTTCACCTTCAACCACTTCTAAAAAGTTAACAGATGACTCTCTTTTAATAACTGTTTCATTCATAAAGAGATGGGGTAATTATAAAAAAAGGTTCTCCCCTACTAGGTTTGTGGAATAAGATAAATTTAGTTTTCTCAACATTTAATGAAAGTTATTTATTTATAATCCAGTCATTTACTTTTAATAATTCTTCCTTATTTTTTCTAAATAGATCTTTTATAATACTGTTTGAGTAAAAATAGTTCGAATCATCATCAAACAAAACAACATTTAAAATTTTGGATGTTAAATATAAATCATTTACATAGAGTAGGAAAAATAGCGGCCCTATTAATAAACATATTATAACAAGTTATAATATGTTTATATATTTCATTTGCTTATATATTGTGTATTATTTTCTGTTTGAGAGGTAACTTTGCTTATATATTATGTATTGTTTTCTGTTTGAGAGGTAACTTTTAAATCATAGTAAGTTGTTGTTTAGTATTCTAAACAGTTCTAGTTTTTTTAAAAGAATACTATGGTTAAAAGTGTCAAATGCTTTTGACAAATCAATAGAAACTCCTTATGTATAGCAATCATTACTGAACCTATCAGATATATAGTTTATTAGATCGGTTACCTCATAATAGTTTCGAACTAAATTAAAAATATCATAACTGTAGTAACGTTATTTAAAAATAATTTTCATGATTTAGTTCAGTGATATGTCTTTAAAACGGAATGTGTGACTGATGCGGAAGGAAAACGTTTTAAACGATTAAAGTAAAGATTGGATAGGGTAGATACAAATCGTTGTTGACTCGTTAACTTCTCTTAGCATTTAACCTCTATTGTTAAGAATACATCTTTTGCTAGCCTTTCAGCTACTACTGCATTTTTATTACTTTTATTTTAATTATTTTTATTATTATCATTTAATTATTTTTATTATTTTTATTACTTTTTTACTACTTTACTACGGTTTTACTTTTTTTTCTTTTTTGGTTATTAAGGTGCTTTCAGAAGTCCTAACGGTCTTATAACAGAATGTTCAACAGTATGGTCTTATCACAGAACATCGTGGAAGAGCATTTAGCTAAGATGATCACGCCTTATCAATGTCACTAATTGGGCTAGAGCTAACGTCGAACCTCGGACTTCTTGGTTTTGAGCCAGAATACTGACTAATTCAACTTCTAGTGGTTAACTTATAAAGAACTATTTTAAATACTATTCGGTTTTTATTATCGTATTTATGATATTTAAACAATTTTCATTCTTTTTACAACGTACCTATGCATGGGGTCGTAGATTTACAGATCTACACATAAACGTTTGAATCTCCGTTGTTTAGAATTTATTAATTTTTTCTAATGAATTATAATGTGAGCAATAGAGCTACGAATACAGGATATTTAAGACCTTAAAGTGAAATTATGGAATTCCTAAAACGTGCTATATCGCTCTTTACATAAGAGATAGGTATTACTGCAGAATCTTAAAACGTTTTCCTGTTAAGAGACAAAATGCTTACGTCCCTCTTTTTCATAGACCCTCCCCCTCCCCACTTTTACACATAGTGCAAAGTTCCAAACGTGAGGGCACTGATGTAGTAAATATTTTTGTATTTTTGTTCTTTAAATCTTTACAAATACGTGATCGTAAATATAAACCGATTTGTTTACAAAGTATAAAATATTTTATACTTTATATTTTATACATTTTATAAATTATACATTTTATACATTTGATACAATGTATAAAATAAAATATTGTATATATAATAAGAGTTTTTTCAGTACAAATAATAAGCATAAAAAAGTAACGCTGTTAAAAGAACGCGCGAAGACCACGTGGTCTTGTCATAACGAAACCCCTTTTAGTTGCGATATTTTTATATACTAAATTAATAAAAAAGTTTCAGTTTAGCTAAGTGAAAAAGTAAAATTATATTTTTTATTATTATAATTTTTTTTTTATAAATTTTATAAACAAAAAAAAAAAGATAAAAAAAATAAATTAAATCTAACATTTACTTTGTTTTGAAGTTAACTTTATAATTTTTCAGTTATTATTTTAATACACGTTTGTAAAATTGTTTAAAACGAATTTTTAAGATAATAGTTTCAGAGAATGTAATTTTGTAGTTGTAGTATTTTTGGATATTAATTTGTTGTTGATGGGAAAAGTGTAAGTTTATATTTTAGCATGAAGAACAAATTTTGATATATGGTTTGGTTATTTAAAAATATATTTACACTACACATATAACTGAAAACAAGCATTAAGAAAAAAATTTACTTTCCAGCTAGTTTATAAAATTTCTTTTCTACGAGATTTCATTTCCAGCGGGCACAGAACGTTCGATAAGAGATATATTTTTTTTTAATAAAACATCTCCGTTTTGTTTGCTGTTGTAAATGGGGGTAAATTTGTAAAGCAGGTATGTGAACGATAGTTTGTTATTACCTAGTTTTCTATTTCCGTGTAAAATAAAAGCAGAATTTTGTAATGAAAAACTTATTTTTAGGGGGCGCCAGACCGGATTAGTGAACACACGGGGAGGAGGGGGGAAGGAGTTCGCTTTGCATCCCCCCCCCCCTCCTTCATCATTCACATGCCCTATGCTGAATCTGCCACTGACAACACATTGCTGTCTGTTTATAAAAAAAAGAAAGCCGAATTATTTTCTATTCAAAATTTTGTTATTAGTTAGGTATTTATATAGTTTATTGTAAATCTATTCGTTCCTGAAGTTTAGAAAAGACAAGAAGGATTGAGATGATTTTTAAAGGATTGAGATGGCTCTGAAGTTATTAAGTGAATATGGCTCTACGGTTTTAAATACTCGTACAACTTTTGCAATTTTTAATTTAATTTTTTTAAATTTTGAAACTTTCAATAAAAACAGTTCCTGTTTTAATTGAAGATTTCAAAATTTTGAGCTTGTTTATGACCGCAAAGACACTTATCACTACATTTGTAAAAATTTTTATCAATTTCTGTTGCTTAGTTAATTTTTAGAGAGTTTTTTTCAACTCCGAATTTATCATAACTTAGTCCAATAAACTTAATTTTAAATTTTCGCTATGAAGTTCTGTAAAATAGGTTTCAAAAGAGGTGTTCGATTTAGTTTCATTTTTAATTTTACTATTTAATAGTAAATTTAAATTCATCAACAGATCTTAGATTTTATTCAAAAATATTGTTAAGTTCAAAAGTTATGACCATGCAAAATATACAACCCCCTCATTTTGGAAGATCGGGGTGTCATATGAATGCAATGTATTCTAGAAGAGCTACATTGAGCAATACACACACACACACACACACACACACACACACACACACACACACACACACACACACACAGATACACGTGAGTGTTTTTTAATCATAGATGATCAGGCATAAAAATGTTTAGTATTAATATGTTGTTATTTTTCAAATATCTCTTGATTTTTTTCATCAATTTTCATTCTTTTATAGTTTTCACTGACAAAGAAAAGCAGACCCAATGACGTAATACATATTGCAAATAAACACCAGTTCATCCACGAAACTCCTAAAAACAAAAATAAAGACAAGTCAAAGTAAAAGCAAAAAACATGATCTTAAAAAATAAAATTTTCATTCATCATAATTTTATTTTTTTAAATACAGAATATATTAAGAAAAAGGTAGAACTTATATAACTCTAATTAATTATTTATATAACTTATAATTTATATAATTTGTATAACTTATAATTAGTTATAAATCGTTTTTGTTAAACACCTATATTAGGGATCCCAAGTATAAGCAAAAAGATAAACGCAAACAAATTGTTGACAACACTAATAAACGCAATGCTAACGGTCTCTGGCACAGGATAAGTAAGCTCCACTACCAATTCAAATAACAATGGAATTGATCCATTTATGCAAAAACCACCGATAATGCATGAAATATACACACTTGCTAGAAGAAAAAAATTATATAACTTTTAAAATTAACTTTTCAGATAAGTAGTTTATCATACGATAAAAAAAAATGCGTTATGTTTTCAAGAAAAAAATTGAAAAACTGTTTCTTTTACCTTTGGAGAAAGGTGCAATTTTTTCACATATCAGCGTAATCCATAAAAAGGTAGTAGATGCAATGGAATACAAAACAACAATAATAAGTTTTAGCCTACAATTAAATCTATCAGCTAGTTTACCGACCATAATTCCACCAAACACACTTGACATAGTGGTAATGAAACCAACTAGACCACATTCTTTCTAAAATTAAAACGTTTGCATAAAAAGTACTTCTTAATAAAACAAACAATAGCAACAGCAACAACAACAATAACAACAATCTTATAGAACTTGCTTGAGAAATATCAAGTCCATTGCCTCTCAGATTGACAGCTAACATAGCGCCCCATCCACTATAAACTCCAGTAACTGAAGAGGCGACTGCCATTATAAGCCAAAAGTCTTTGATTTTTATAAGTTTAACTAATCCAATTTTAAATTTTATTTTTTCAAGTGATGCTGAATTTGAAGGAGGGTATGGTGGCTTGTTTCGGAAACAAAAAATTGATGCGAAAAGAAGCAAAGCTGACAATGCAAATTCTAGATACATTAAATATTCGATTCTTGAGCGCATGATTAATCTTGAAGCAATATTCTGTTTGTCAAAAGGATTTGATTCATTTTTTATTATTAAATCTGGCACAAATGCAGGACCAACCAAATGAGAAATAGCAATGCCAAGCGGACACGATAATGAAGCAATAGCGGTAGCAGTTGTTCGTTGTTTAGCGGGAAACCAAGTACTTGAAAGAAAGGGAGCAGCGGCTTGGGCTAACATTCCGCCAAGACCATTAAAAATTTGTCCTGTGTTTAATATCCTAAAGTAAATAAAATTATATATAATCAAAAAGATATGAAATCTAAAATTTTATGTAAAAAAACCTCACCACTTTGCCCAGTCATTTTTTAAAGGGATGCATCTACAGATAGCTCCAATAGTCATCATTGACAACGACATAAGTAGTGTAATTCGGAGACCTAAAATACCAACAAAAACGCTGTTAGTAAACCAAAATGTTCTTTTTACACTCTGATGTCAATTTAAAGAAAATGTATTACATAAAGAGATACTTTTTTACTTGCCGTTTCGTTGCACTAACCAATACATTTGCATAGAAAATATAACAAACAGAATTGTATCCCAGTTAGCCAACATAGATATGTCAGTGTTATTCCAATGAAATGTTTTTTTGACAGAAGAAGATATAGGTCCAAAAATGTTCCAAGAGAAATATTGTAATATTACGTAACATGAGAACAAAAACAAAACAAACCAACGCATTGGAGTGACGGCGGTTTTAATTGCTAGAAAAAAACGTAACCAATTTAAAAAAAAAAAATTGCTTAAAAAAATATTACTTTAAATTCTAGTACGCGAAAAATAAATTAGGTTAAATGTTGTTAAAGTTTGTGTAATAAAAATTAAATTTAGAGGAATTTTATAAAATTTTAGAATAACAAATTAAATAAAAATATAACTTACCACTTTCGTTTTCATTTTCTTTATCTACAGCGGTTAACATCGAGGAAGACATCTTAAAACTTTGTTCTTCAACTAAAAATGATGAATTATTCCTCGCTACACGCTGTTTTGAACTCATGTATTTAATGATTGCTCTGAAAGTTTAAAAAACTTTATTAAATAAGAAAGGTGTAAATAAGAATATAAATAACTAAAAGTTTATTAAAAAACATTAGGAACAATATCTATTACAATGAAGATCATCAAAGTTCGTTTAACCAACCATGATGATAATGAATATTGCGAGTAATGAACAAAATTCTTTAAACAAAAGCTTTCTTAAAAAATGACGTCAAATTTTAAATTAAATCCTGTTTTACTGGGGATACTTATTAGTCTCAGTATAACCAAATTGAGCAGATTTAAAATGACTGCAAAACCGTCATAAACATAACCAGTTTTTTTGAAACTGAGAAAACGAGTTGCGTTTTTGTAACTTTTTTAAAAGGTGGTTCACCAATATAAAAAAAACACAAAATTAAAACAAATCTTCTTTATTTTATTTTGGATGACTTTTGTATAAAATTTAATCAGTTTTTTTAATTATAAAAAAATATTTTAAAAATATTTTTTAAGTTTTTTTTATTTATACTATGTATTTTAAAAACTCATAGAAATGCGCGTAGCTGCATACTAATGATCAAAAAATTGGTTTACACATCTTATAAGATTGCGCGTCTTAATAGAAGACAAATAAGGCAAAGTGTACAAAACATTTATATTTACAAAAAATTTATTTAAATGGGTTAAATATAAATATTTAACTCATTTATATGATGTTTTTGTAAATATGAATGTTTTGTAAACTTTGCTTTACTTGTTATGCGAATTATGAACACTTTTGGTTTCAAAGTAAAAAAGAAAAAAATAGTTGAACTCTTTATAATGTCACGCGCAACAACTTTAAAAGTTAAACTATTTTGTATATATACCAAGTTTAAATGAAGCTCGTATATGAGCTTCATTCAAACATGGTATATTTGTTTTGTAAAGCTTAAATGTGCCTAATATAGAATTGTAAAACTCTTTAAGAAAGAGAACTTTTCGCGTTTAAAAAAGAAAACGTTTCATGAAAATAAATTCAAAAAATCAAAAAAAAACAAAATATTGCGCTTGTTCAACAGGGTGTATTCTCTTCAAGTACTAAAAACTAGTAACTAAAAATAAATCAATCTGCAATCTAGATTCAATTTGCAATCAAAATTTCTTGAAAAAAAAGTTAAAAAATCTGATGCTGAATCTAAACAGATACTCAGAATTCTTTTAAGACTATAAATTAAAATACATATATATCAACTACAAAGTGAACTGACTCGTTTATGTGTATTATCTAAATGAATCTTTTTTTTTTTCTCAAATTTCTCAAACAATATATCAAAATGTGTTTATTACACACAAAAAAAACACTTGATTTTTTCTTGTCAAGTTTAGTTATTATGCTGCTAGTTATGTCTAATATTTTATACTGAGCTTATTTTGAGTTTATTTTTTATTATGAGCTAAATTTAAAGAATATATAAACATAGTTGTACTTAATATATAATTATATTTAACATAATCATAATAATATATCAAACACATTGTAAGGGCTTCGTGATAAGATCATTACGATCTTCTTGAAGTCCGGCCTGTACTATTTAATTATAAATTTCACTATATATATTTTGACTCACGAGACTTGTAAATATTAATTTACGAAACTTGTAAATGTTATATGTACGGCAAATATATGAATAAAAAAAAAAAAAAAGTAGAAGAAAATTATTTGGAAAAGGCTACCAATGTAATAAAAAGAACAAAAAGTATTAACAAGCATTAAAGTTATTTACAGTTAAATTCTCATCTATAAACTTTGAGGAAGCATAACCAGCCGGCATTTGGTCCTAAAAAGACGTCTTTTGTACGTTCAAAAGATGTTTTTTTACGACTAAATACTGGCTGGGTAATTAATTTTTGCAAATTTGCTGAAACATAAGATTAATTTTTTTTGTTTGTTTTTGTTTTTAAAGAGAATGAATTTTAGGATTAGAAAAACACGTTTTTGATAAATTCACGACATATTAATTAACATTAATATAAATTAATACTAGTAATAAAAAAAAAAAAAAAAACAAGAAAAGCCAAAAAAAAATATCATTTTAGTTTTTTCTTGTTTTTGATGGATTACTGATAGATGTATTTTCGGTTTTGTTTTATTTGTATTCATTATTGCTGAGCAGATCAAAAGTATTTAATATTCTCTTTTTTTTCTTGTCTGGAATTCTTTTGCTATGTTCCGTTGAGGTTAATCTACTTATTATGTTGTCACTTATAAAACAAGCAGCCGTAAGTTAAGCAGCCGTAATGCAGTGGTTAGCGCACTTGCCTCAGAAGCTAGAGACCCTTGGTTCAAGCGCCACCTCTGAGCAAATTTTAAAACATCGGTAAGGAAGGAAGCGTGACCTTTCTTTTGAATGCTCTTCTCTTCTTCTAAACAAGGTCGCTGCGTGAAGAAACAAGTTGAGAGTGGCACATTCCCCAGCCGGCATTTGAACCTAAAAAGACGTCTTTTAAACATTTAAAAGACGTTCAGAACGTCTTTCGAATGTTCATAAGACGTTTTTTCAGAACAAATGCCGGCTGGGTCAAAGGCATAGAGTGTATTTAGATATTTTACTCTCTGGATTTCTTCAGTTCTTATTATATTTTTAGAATACACCTGTGTTTATTTCCTCCGATAAAAATTTTAGTTGTATAACTATTTTATCTACATATCAAACATAAAATATGCTAAAATATTAAAAATGATTGTGAAATAAAATATATTGATCATCGCTCTAACTTATTTCAAACGTTTGTTCTAAACTTAATATTTTCTTAAAAAGTACAAGTAATAACTTGATAACATTCATATCTGTTAAGACCTTAAATTTACACTTTTTGGTTAAAAAAGTATTTTAATGCAACCAAAAAAAACTTGCTTTCAAACACGAAAAATTATCAGCATCTTAGATTAAAACAAATTACAGTACTAAACTTACTCATATATTAGTCAAAGTGGTGGACAAACAAAATAAGTGCTTTCCCAGCTAACATTCTATAGCGGAATTTCAGTGAACCTATATAGTTATTTTTAGCGGATCACTGTAGTTTTGCTCATCGGTTACTTAGTGGACCATTAGTGACAGTCGCCGAAAGTAGTTAGCCAATGACTGGCTACTGTTAACATGTCGGAAAGTTATAGGCTTGCCGTTTATAGCGGTTGTCTAATGGTTTACTAAGTCACCGATAAGCAAAAACCCAATAAATCTCTAAAAAATGCCTCTATAGTTTCTCTAGAAATCCTTCAGAACAATGTTCGCTTGGTATAGAAAACATTTTTACATATTTTGCTAATAAAAATGTCTTTAACCTTTTTATTTTTTTGGAAATGAAAAACAAACATTTGAACCTTGTACATAAAAGTCATTAAAAAAGTCATTCTAAAGTTATTGAATTAGTAAGATTTGGTTCTAAATTGCAAACGAAGCAAATGTTAGTAAATCAGCAAAAGTAAAAAAATAAGGTATGTTGATATATAAGTTAATATAAAGGCTCTTTTAAGTATTCAAAAATAGTGTTAATAATCAAATATTATTTATATTATATATTATCAAATATTATATTTATTCAAATATTTTTTAAGCAAACAAAAAATTTATACAAATATATTAAAAAATTTTTTTTTTCTTTATTTAAACCCATCAAGTAACTATATGTAAAGATAGAGATTATTTCTTTCTTTAAACCTATTAAAGCCTAAACGACGATTGCTATGAAAGACTAGAAAAACTTGATCAGTAAAAAAAAAATTGTAGACAAGAATTTAAAAAATATTTAGAATTTAGTTCTAAATATTTAAACAATGTAGTAAATTCACTATTCTTTTATCAATGTGGATAATGCTGTTTTAATGTAGCTTTTCTTTTTTTGATTTTACATGTACTTTAAGTGGAAAACAAGCCATGCCGCGTTTCTTTACAGACCACAGTAGTTGTATAATATAATATACATATACATAATATACATAAAAATGCTATAGTGTTTTTATATAAATTAATGAAACAACATTTTTAAAAACATTGGGGGGGGGGGGTTCGAAATTTGAACCCATTTGGGTTCAAACTCTCTTTTTAAAAAATATATAAAATCAAAGATGGAGAGCTTCACTTAAACAACATTGTCCACATTGATAAAAGAATACTGAATAGTGAATTTACTACGTTGCTTAAATATTTAGGACTAAATTCTTGTCTACAAAACCGTTTTGCGAAACCGATTTGCAAAACGATTTTTATAACTGTTTTTATTGATTTACAGTTTTAATCGGTTATAAACTTTACATACATTTTTTTTGTGACAACATTGTATTATTAAGAGTAATGCGTTTCAAAACTCTTTGGAAAACTAACTAAAAAAAAATCTTCTTCCGTCGAAGTTATTATAAAAGGTTTACCTAGATGTGTTTACTTGATTTTTTTAAATGTGGTTACTTGATTTTTTAAGACGAATTTCCGCTATTTAAAAACAAAAATTCCAAGGTTTTAAATTTGAGTTACAAAAAAAAAAAAAAAAAAAAGGTTGTTGTATACTCTTTTTCAGAAGGGGAAAAAACAAAAACAATGTTGTTAACCTTATAAACAAATCTTTTTTTATGTTTTGAACTTTAAGATGTAAAATTTAACTTTAGTGCTGAGTGATCCGTTCTTGACTGTTGTTTTCGGTTAAGTACGTGTATTGTTAATTTTAATAAAATTGTCAATGAAAAGTTGCTAACTTTCCTGACTTAACATGTTATTAAAAAGAAATATTTCCCAACAATGACGTACGTTAAATGGGATGTGACACATTTGCATTGGAAGAATTTATCTGTGTAATTTTGTCAGTGTCTTGATTTTTTTTTGTCGTTCAAAAATACAAATAGATTGCGATAGGATTCTTTTAACTTCCTCTACATAAAAATCAGAAATGTGCGACAAGTACTTAGGCGAAAAACGTTTAAATATGTTTAAGATGTTTTTTGTTGGTAATGTTTATTTGTTAATACATAAGAGTAGCGTTTAAAAATTCTTTTTTTTTTTTTATTAATAAAAACAAAAATAACTTTGATTCTTTAAATTAAAACTTGCATTGATGTTGAAACACATATTGATGTTTTTATTTATGTGTAATATTTTTTTATGGAGACCAAAAATGGCTGTCGACATTTTATCTCTAAAGGTAAATGGTAATAATTTATTAAATGATAATAGACTATTAAATATTAACTGAAGTGAAAACTTTTACGAATAAGTGATAAAAAAAAAGTCAATAAGGTTTCATAAAAGCCCGTTTACACAAATAAACTGATACTTGCAAGACTATTCATTACGTGTAGACTATACACATAGAATAATACCATACATTAATATAGACGAATAGGTTTAAGACGTAACACATTTTTTATTGTTTTAAATGACAAAAGTAAAACAATGGATAGACTATTTAGGAATATTTTTATTTGATTTAACTTCTAATTCACGTTAGTCATTTTTTTTTTTTAACTTCGAACGTGCTTTTCGAATGTCTTATTTTTGTAGAATATTTTTTTATTTTTTATAATTTAACATAGTTTTAACATTTTTTATAATTTAACATATGATTTTCCTTATTTAATAAAGATAATTATTGCTGTTTTACTTATAAAAAAATATACTTATTTTTTTATAGGTAAATATTATAAAAATATTTTATTATTAACTTGATAATAAAATATTTTATATAAGTAAATTGTAATTAAGTTAACGATAAAATATATTTAATTATGAACTTAATTACTTAACATTACATTTGTGTCGTAAATCTATCGATCAGTAAATTAATTTTTCTTAAATTTTGATCTGGATGCGTCAAAACTACAGTAGCTTTTTTGATTAACCAAAAAGTTCGGGTTTTTCCAAAGTTTACTAAATCATATAAATTCACTAGGCACCAAAAAATAAAAAAACAAATAACGGATAGGATTTGACTGAAGCCTACACAATTGAACCATTGGTTCTGAGCTACTGATTTGACTGAAAGCTACACAATTGAACCATTGGTTCTGAACTACTACTACGACTCTAACCACTGCGCACGCTGCGTAAATTTATAATATTTTATGATTGGATGTGCAAATTTTACAGAAAAAATTATCTCTCGTAGCTGGAAAATATTTTTCCTCAGTTGGTTGGTTTTGACAAATTGTGTCATCTGATAAAGCTTCTTTGCTAAAAATAACACTAAATTAATGTCATTCTTATTCCTATTTTGCCTAAAAAGACCCTATTTTGAGCAAATAGCCATTAAATTGCTGTTTGCTCAAAATAAGATCTTTTTAGGCCAAAGGATTTTCTCATGTCTTGTTTCAGGTGTACACAAATCTAGTCTGCTACAGCTTTTGAAGTTCCTGTAGATGGGTTTGCCTCGTTTTGAACCTTAGCAATGTCTTTTATTGAGTTTTTGCCGCAGGAAATGGATGTGTTTGAGATTTAACTTTACCCAAACCAAATTATTGTAAAAAAAAAAAAATAATAAATAACAATAACGAAAATGTAAGCCAAATAGTATTAACATATTTTTAATACCTTTTTGAGAAGCAGCTGATCGTTCGAATAATTATTTTCGCCGAAGATGAATTTTTAAAAAGAAAAGTACATTTTTTTGAAAATTTTTATTCATTCAAATTTTAATTTAAAACTTATTATTATATTTAGAGTAAATATAGTTTGTATAAATCATAATAATTTTATTTTTCCGAAAAAATTTCATTTTAAATGAATTGAATTTTTATATCAATTCCTTTGATTTTTTTAACTCCGAAAATTTCAAACGTAAATCTGTCTTGGATTAGGATTTTGAAATTTTATAACCTGTGTGGATGTAAAATAATACCTCAAAATATCGTTTTGGGGATATTTTTTTATTTTCGTACCATTTTTTTACAAGGGGTACTGAGTGGAAAGTAAATTTAAAAATCAAATGAATCACCGCTTGTTGAACTGCGAGCTGAAGAATTAACAAATTGAAAAAGATCAATTTAGCCGGTTTTTCTATTTGTTGGAAGAAATTAAATGGAATTTAGAAGATGTTATATACCCGAGAATAGTTAAAATAGAAAAATTAAAGAATATGACATTTTAATAGATGCAATTTAAACAGTAAAGAATCGAAAATTTTGTTTTATTTATTATATTAGTGTAAAAAAAAGGGATTATTGTTATTAAACATATTCCAGTTTAATGACAGTTAAAATTTGATTAAAACTAGTCTCTGGGAAAATGTAGTTCCGAAGAATATGTACACACACACACACACACACACACACACACACACACACACACACACACACACACACACACACACACACATACACACACATACACACACATATACACAAACACATCAATTTTGAATGTATTTTACAAAATAGAGTGCTCAATGTTCTTAAAAGAACAGAGCAATAATAAATAATTAGAAAATCATTTACAAAATTTTTTTTAATTTTACACAGGGTTTCATATATAAAGACTCGTCAAAAATCTGACGAGTCTTTATTAAAACCAGAAATCTGATTTCTGATGAGTTTTTATTGATGAAGCGCTGTGAAATTTAACAAAAATTGATATATATATATATATATATATATATATATATATATATATATATATATATATATATATATATATATATATATACATATATATTTATACATTCATATACATTTTTATACATCAAAAAAAAATTTGTGTATAGCAAAAGAAAATGATCAATTCTCGAAAAATCTGCATATATGGCAAAAAATATGTTAATTCTCAATTCTTTATATCAAAAAAAGTACTTCAAACTAGAGGCAAGTTTTGTGATTTTTAGGTTTTTTTAGTTCTTAACTTTTACAAACGAATTTATTATTATTTTTGTTATTATTATTATTATATTATATACAATGGCGGATCCATAAGGAAGGGGGGGGGTGATTGCCCTCTTCTCTTAAATATTTCAAAAAGAATTTATTTTTCTGCAAATTTATAAGTTTAACAAAGCATGTTGTTTGAAAACTGGAGTAAATTCTGAAGGGTATTTAAAAGTCATAAGAAGTTGTAATTAATTTTTGAGGTGCAAACAAAATCGGACTATTAGGATAGCAATATATGACAGTAATATATAATAGCAACGTAAAATGATATGAATAGTATTCTAAAAAAAATTAACTACAAAACCAAACTCTCAGTTGTTGTAGCAACAGGCTATAATGTAGTCAATGTAGCAGCACTTCCTCGTAGCAGCAGGCTATAAGATTTGGTAATGTAGCACTTCCTTGTAGCAGCAGGATATAAGATAGTCGGTGTAGCAACACTCATATATTTTACTGTAAACAAGCAACACTCCTCGCATGTTATATATATATTTGTCAGTCAATGTAGCAATACTCCTCACATGTTTTAAAAATGTTATATAACAAAAACAAAAACTATTTTAAAAAATTTTAAAACTATTAAAAACAAAAACTATTTTAAAAAATTTCTGTCATTATTGTTGCAGTTTTTTAAAAAACGATAAAACTTAATATACTTCCACACACATACATACACAATGTAGAATAAAATATGCTAAAAAGTTTTGAGTCTGGCCAAAAGAGGGCCAATTTATTAACAGAAATGCCACTTAACTTACATTGCACAAAAACAAGGTAAAAAAATTGCTTCAACTTTTAGGTCTGATTTCTGCTAATCAGTAAAGCGGTTTGTACTAGAAACTTCAAGAATTATGAGAATTCTAAACCAAAATATTGAACTCATTCAATAATAGTATTAACAAAGGCAATTTTAAAAAACTTGTGGCACTCTTATCTGAGTGATTTTTCATAACATTTATTACCTGAATGATTTTTCATGACATTTATTAAAGTTGTCAAATCAAAAACAGTTTTTGCTGCAAAACCAAGAGCAACTTTAAAAAATTACTTTAGTATGACAACTTTAAACTTATTAAGTCTAATACTTATCAAGTCTTATAATGTAAAACTTATAATGTAAAAAAAAATTAACTTATAATGTAAATTAACTTATAATGTAAAAAAAAAAAAAAAAAAAAAAAAAAAAAAAAAGTCATTTAAATAAGAAAATCTTTAGCTTGTCAAAATTTTTACTTACACTTTTTACGTTTATGCGTATTGCCTAATTTTCAATAGGTTAAATTTTTTAAATGCTGCAAAGTATTTACATTTTGTAAATACTTACAAAATGTAAATACTTTGTATTTACATTTACAAATTACATTTAAATCTTTTAAAATACACAGTTTAAGGGGTTCAGGTATATGTGATTGTTTGTGGCAGGAGGGAAGGGGTTAGAATTGACAAATGTAGGGTTACATGCTTTATTGATGACCCCCTTAGTTGCATTTACAAATGATTTGTTTTACTAAAACAAAATTATTATCCAAATAAGAATTATGTAATGATGTAATTCATTTTGTAAACAACAAAAATTTATCTAAAAGCGCCAGAACATTAGTAAATGCATATAGTTTTAACTTACGTTACACAAATTTAAAATTAAAATGTACTTTAAATTAGCATTGTTATTAAAAACTTAAAATGTAAAAACGTAACATTTAATATTTTTTCCCCTATATTATTTAAAAACTTAAGTTTTTTAACTAAATATTAGAAAAAACAAAATTTTATCATGTTTTTGTTAACTTAAGCTACATGAAAATTGCAAATGTTCTTTCGTTTTTTTTCTTGAAACATATATTTTAAAATCTGACCAACAACAAATTGTACCTGTTAGCTCCATTTTCACGCTAAATTAATTTGGATTACGCAAATAAATTCATAGTTAAAATATCATTTTACAATGATGCCCATATATATACAGCCCTCCTCCAATGGAATTGCCCATATATATTTAAGTTCTAAAGACTTAGAATTTAAGTTTAGAATTTAAAATTTAAGTTCTAAAGACTTGGAATTTAAGTTCTAAATAAAAATCACTAATAGTATAAAAGGAAGAGTGATGTGCCTTAGAGGTGTGTGCCTTAGAGGTGTGTACCTTGGAGGCAGTTGGTTTCTGTTACCAAAAAGTAACTTTTTTAGGGTGTATTCTTTTTTTTCTACAACTATAAGTATAACTTAATTTTAAATTGATTATCAATATTTGTAAAGCATATTTTCAACTACATTCATGCATGTTTGAAATTGCTGAACTCCGTAAATATATGGTAGCTATTTTGTTACAAATATTGTAGCGGTGTACCTTAGAGGTAGCTAATAATGTGTACCTTGGTGGTACCACCAAGGTATACAATTGCATGATTTTGTAAAAACTATTATAAGTAATATTTGTTATGAAAGTATTTTTTTAAGTGTAATATGTTTTTGTAGTTTATTATGGTGTGTGTATTTCTTTGTTAAATGTAATTATTTTTCTCAAATTGTTATCTTCTCTTTGATAATTTTCTCAAATTATCAAAGAGAAGATAAAACTGTGTATGAGTTGGACTAATCAGACACGGTCTTTCAGTTGCTAAATCCCTCTATTAAAGGAAGTTCAGCAAGACATATTATAAATAATCATTTAATACTAAATTTAATTACCTGAATGTAGAGTAGACAAATGTTAAATATTAAGTTTATTATTAAATATTAATATTACTAAATTTTAATGTACATATTTGTTATTACTATTTTCTTAATCAACTTTATTTCTTTTGTATGTTTTTAATACTTCTAAGTATAAATTAATTTAAATTTATAATCATACATAAATTAAACATTAATATAATTTAATATATAGTTTATATAAATCTAACTAGTTAGATTAATATTATCTTGAATGAGGTTGATTTACGTCAGCCTCATTTGAGATAATAGTCTAATTATCCTATAAGTAAACATTATATCAAATTTATACCATGTTGAATACTTAATCTATTTAAACAATAGTACCTCCAAGGTACAACATACATACTTCCAAGGTACACCAACAGTGGTGTACCTTAAGTGGCTGTAATGTAAGCTATTTTTTAAAATTGAAAAAAGGGATCAAAAAATATTTCAGGATGTTTAATAAAAAGTCTTTGAGTATATCATCAAGTTAAAGAAAATATATTGTTGCAGAACATATTGTAAGTATTTTTTTTATATTTGTTTGAAAATATCTCTAAGGTACACCACTCTCCCTTGCATACATAGATGTGGTCTTGTTGCAATATGTGGCTTCAATTTTCAAAGCATTGCTCTGATCTTTTCAACTACTGACCAATCATTCTTCTTCTTATTAACAAGGTTTTCAACTACTGACCAATCATTCTTCTTCTTATTAACAAGGTTTTAAGTTGTAAATCAAAAAAAATTGTTAACATCTCTTTATGAGTCTAACAATTCATTCTCTGAAAATCAAATTTTGAGGCTTCCATTTTACTGCTATGATTTGGTGATTGTAGTAACAGAAAGCTTTTACCATGTGATGAGATAAGGGCTATTTCCCTAAGGTAAGGTTTCCTTTAATATATTAAAAGCTTTCAATAAAATTTTATATATTATAAATTTAGGAAAGCTAAACTTTTAAACTTTTCGAGTCTTTGCTTTTTCATTCTTTCTGTATTATTTAAACTTGATATGAAAAACTTTTCTTTTTACTAGTAATCTTTGTTGTACCACACTATTCTTATATTGTTTTTCATCTATATTTTTAATTTTCTTGACATTTTTATTTCTAAAGTAAATCTGTTTCTTATGATGCAACCATATATTTGCTTATGATGCAACCATATGTTTTTTGATGCAACCATATGTTTTCTTATGGTGCAAACATATATTTTTTGATGCAACCATATATTTTAGTCTTAATTAAAAAGTCATTTTTAATTAAACAATTAGTGTCTACTCAATTTTCTCAATGCAAATAAAACTATTTTATTTGCTAGTAATATGCAATAGTTATTATTGAATTATTATTATTGAAATAATAATTATTATTGAAAGTTTTACTGAGTCCTCTTCTTTGGGCCTTTTGTCTCAGATTATCTTTTTGTACTGACCTCTGATGAAAAATATCTATACCTTTTTTTAGCACATAATGAAATGACTATGTATTACATGCAATCAAAAGCAAAACTCAACGTTCTTTGAAGAAACTTATTTAAGATAAAATATTGCTAAAAAAACAAAACAAAAAAACAACCTTAAATATGGCTTTTTATATGATTTTTGAAATTTAAAAAAGATAAGTAAATATGATATTTAACAAAGTTATATCTTAATTTTATATTAAATTCAAAATGAATTTTTTGTTTTATAATAAGAATAAACAAATAATTATGTTTTTCGGGATTTTTTTTTTTTTCTTTTTTTTCTTTTTTTGCATTATTTATGTTTTCAGATTAAAGACAAAAAAAACTTTTCATTTCTATTTATATTTTGTTTCTTTGTATTAGTCATATGTTCATTTCATTGTGAGTTATCACACATTTTAGGATTAAAAACTTGAAGACTAAAGTAAAAAAATGTAGTATTAGATGAAAACAGTATGAAAATGTCAAATGTTCTTTATTTTAATCAGTTGATCTGCTGTAGTTTATTATTTGATTGTAAGTGTGTAACTGAAACATTTAAATATATATTTTGAACTATTTAAAATACTAGAATTTATTGTGAATAAATTTTGTTACATTCACAAATCTAAATTTGTTAGTACACAAACTGTTTCAGCTTATTATTATTATTTTTTTTTTTAAGAATTTTTCATTTAAAAAATAATAAATGAATGATATTAACAAGTAGATTTTATTTAACTTTAGAATTTTAAATTTAATGCATTAATAACATTAATGTTAATGTTTTTCAATGTATTTTTCTATCCAAATTAATATGACTCAAAAGTTTTTAGCTAAATGTTAAACATAGAGATGTGGAACTACAAGTTTGAATAAAGTACATAGTGATTTGATGTTATTTGAAATTATAATTAGGTACAGTTTTTGACCTTTAAGTAACAGTTTAAGTTCTCACAGTTGTAGAAACTGAAAACCAAATTAAAAGATAAAATTGAAAGTCTGTCAATGAATATATTTGTTTGTTTTTTTTTAAATCTTTTTTTTTTTTATTTTTATCTGTAAAATTAATAAATAAGTAAATTTATTATTTTTTATTTTGAGGATTAAAAGTTTTAGTTATGATTTGTAATAAAAATTATGTATTCAAATAAAACATCTTAAAATGAAAATAATGCTGTTATTTCTAAATTGTTATTTTGTATACAAAATAGAAAGTATAACAATCTTAAGGTAAAATTAATATTAAAAGTAATTAATAAAGATCACTAAACTTTTTTAAATACTTTTTATATCTCATGAATATAAAAATTAAAGTAATTAACAAATAAATTTTGTAGCAAAAATTTTAACTAACCATTTGAAAAATCATGCAGTTGTAATCACAGCTCTATGCAATGCAATATTGCAATGTGATCTTCAATTTCATGCTTTTTAAAAATTGATCAACTTTATTAAATGTCAAATGTTTCTCATGGCAACAGATTTCTACTCACAGCTAAAGTATAGATGCTAATATTGAATTAACTTTTTACTTGTATTTCTTTAAGTTGTATAAAATATTTATAAGTTTGCATTGAGTTCACTTTTTGCTTATTGAAAAAAAGATTAATTTTTCAAAAGATTTTTTTAATTAATTTTTAATGTTATCTGCTCCATCAAATTGAGATATGTACATCTATATTTTTTTAACTACCACTGTAAGGTGTTTTATTATAAGTAATTTAATTAGATCACCCTTGGAAGTGTTTTATTTTCAGCCTAAATCGCTTATTTTAAAGTTATTATTTTTTGTCATTTTATAATCACATTTTTGTTTGGAACATGTAAAAGGTAAATTTGTTTGCTTCAAAGATTTCATTAATTGAGCTTGTAATGACATAGGATAAGCAAAATAAGTTGATATTAAAATAAATTGAGATAATAAAATAATAAAATAAATTTAAGATTGAGATAAATTGAGAGTAGATTAAAGATACAAAATGTACCTTTAATCTACTATAAGTTAAGAAGAAAAAATGTTTGGTAATTTTTTTAGCTGAAATAGAATACTCATACTAAAATATTGAATAAACTAAACTCTCTTATTTGCTTTTTTTTTTTTCAATTAATTTTTTTATATTCTTGTCCTCTTAAATTTAAAAAAAAAAAAAAAAAAAACAAGTTTAACAAATGTATTGGCTAAATTAGATTATAGGGTAAAATGAAAAATATTTTAGAAAACATCAAAGCCTCACCCTTAAACTAAATAAAACTTTATTAACTAGTGAGCCTATGGTAATGCATAAATGTTTCTAAAATTGCGATATTGGAAATATTTATTGTTATTGTTCTACAAAATATTGTCCCATTAAAATTGTCCTATTACTTCAAAAAAAAAAGGTCATTGCCATTGGGCTGGCTAACACCCTGATATAGAGAAAAAAAAAACATTTTAAAAGTCCAGAGATCTATTATTTTAGATACTGGAAATTCTGGTTACATCTAAATACTATAGTATTTATTAAATATTCCAGTATCTAAATACTAAAGTATTATAAAGAGATTCCATTATCTAAATACTATAGTATTTATTATTTATTCCAGTATCTAAATACTCAAGTATTATAAAGAGATACCAGTATTTAAAATAATAGATAATACTATTATTAATTATAGTAATATGGATAAATATATATACATACCAAAGTTTATAAAAAAAAATTTAGAATATTCCTAGACACTGAAAGTTGATTTTTTACATTTATGAGAATTAATTTTAGCGCAAACAAATTTATTAGAAGGTTTTAATATATTGCTTGCATGTCTTAGGTTTTTATTTATTTATTCAAATAAAATCAAAGGTAAAACTTAAGAAGTTTTTCCAAAACTTAGAATCAATAATGAGAATAAATTTGTGAATATGAAAATATAATGAAGAATGTTTATTTTCTGTTCTCAAAATTGTACTGGAAATACAAATGTCATTTTTTAATTTGAATATGACATGTATTGAAATAAGAAAAAAAATTACAAAAGATTTAAATTTTTTACAACTTGAATAGATATTAATGAGTTTATAGATTTTTTTGCTACAAAATAAAAAAAGTACTTTAAACTAGAATTTTTTGATATAATAATAAAAATTGAAAAAAAAAATTTTCAAAATAGTTTTCATTGCTACAATGACACCAGCTTAAATATATGCAGATAAATCTTTTTTGGTTGTAATAAAAATTTTTATTTTTAGATTTTTCTAAAGGTCACCAAGAGCATGAGCGGAGATTTCGTATTGAGTGGTTTTATATTCCAGCAGGTGTTGGATTCGGTTTATTGTGTTTTATACAGCTTAAGCATATGTGGAGGCGTCAGCGCAATGCACCATTTGATGAAGCTAACGATGAACCTATAAAGAATGGATTCATTTTTAAATCATGGCAGGTAAAATTTTTTCTGAGGTTTTGATTATTTTAAAAAATAGTAAAATATATTTTTCTTCTTAAAAGCTCTTCTAAGTTAAATGGCTTAAGGCCTATGCGAGATTCCCAGATAGTATAGTTGTTGATACTACTAGTATCAAATGCACTAGTATCAGTTGTAACTTTTAATCAAAGATTTTCATCCCACAATATGGAAGTTTTTTTTAATGGGATTCCAAAGCGCCAAGACATGTTGTGTTCATATTAAATAGAATAATAAAAAAACATTGGGCTAAATTCTTTTGATTAAAACAAAAGAATAAATGCATAACAAGAAAAACTAACTTTTTTTGTTTTAGTCGAAGCTCGCCTTCTCCATTTTGTTGTAGGCCAAATAGTCAGCATAATATACGCTGCAATCTACAGACTTGATAATTTATTCAAGTGCGTTTTATTCCTAAGAGTTTTAGTACATGACGTCATTGTTTTTTTTTGTTTGTTTAATAGATTGATTAAGTAAGTATTAAGATTTATAATGTAATTGAATTAAAATATTATTTAATAAATCCTTACTTTAGTTTTTTTTAAATACTTAATGTCATAAAATGTGTTAAATTATTGTTCTAAAGTGTTATAGGATACTGTCAAAAATTGTCCCAAAATTTCTATTAGTTTATAATACTAATTTTACTTGAGCGTTTGTTTTTTTTAGGTTGAGGCTTTTAAAATTATTCCTACACGTTTTCTTTCACGAGTATGGGGTCATTGCTCCAATACGCATATTCCAGTACCATTACGTGCACCTTTAATCAACTCTTATTGTCATCTTTTTAACTGTAACTTAAATGAAGCAGTGATTAGTGATGTGAAAGAGTATGAAACTTTTAATGCTTTTTTCACAAGACAGCTAAAACCAGGTGTGCGTGAAATTGATCATTCTGTTACAATGGTAGGTTGTGTTGCGTCTGTTTATTTATTTTTATTATTTTAAAGAATCAGTGAGCACAATATACTTGAGCACTAAGCATATGCCAAGGTTTTTGATGAGATTTTTATCTTATATTTGATATATTGTTTCAGTTAAAAGTTGTAGTGACAAAAGAAATTTTTAGTTAATGATTTCTACATAACAATTTCTTCTTTAGAAAAAAAAAAGGCATTTTCTAATTTATACAGAGTTAATAAATATTAACCTGCAAATTATACATTTCTATTATTTCTTTTTTTTTTTGCAACTTAAATCTAAAAAACTAATACAATTCTTCTGAATGAAGAATTCTATTTGTTTTTTAGATTTAAGTTGCAAAAAAAAAATAAAGTTTATCAAATTCTAACACTAACCCTAACCCCCTGACGGCTTTTGACATTTTTAAATGTTGAAGTCATTTGAAAAACTGATCAACAACCAACCTTTTGTTAAACCACATGTTTAACTATATTTAATACATTGTTGTTTAAGTTTTGAAATGTTTTTTTTTTTTTTTTTTAATATTAAATTAAAGATTTTATTCAAGTTATGTTAGTTATTTTAATTTTAGCTTTTTTTTATACATTGGTTTATTTTTGAAATTGTTTCACAAACATACATCATTTCAAATAAAGTTATATATATATATATATATATATATATATATATATATATATATATATATATATATATATATATATATATATAACAAGAATTATAAGTATCTATATCTAATAATATAGTATAATAGATTATATAGTAATGAAATTATTTATTTCATTTTTGAAAATCTTATTTAAGGTTTCACCTGCAGATTCAACTATACTTTCTTTGGGATCATTTTCGCATAAAGATATGACTCTTGAGCAAATTAAAGGAGTAACATTCCCTCTTAGTACTTTTTTTGGTCCAAGACATCCTTTTTTTAAAAAGCTTTGTTCATTTTTTCCAGGTAAAATGTTTATATATGTTGATCTTTTTAAAAGCAAATGATAAAAAATTGAAAATAAAGACGTTGAAATGTTTTATCCTTTTGTAATATGATATTAAGTTTACATATAAATACTTATATAAAATAAAATGACAATTTTTTTTAGAGTCTGATCCTCTATATTCTCCTGGAAGCTGTCATCAAGAGAATGATTTCAAAATTTTTTATTGTACTTTTTATCTTGCACCTGGTGATTACCATTGGTTTCATTCCCCAACAGAATGGACAGTTGACCAACGAAGGCATATTCCAGGTTTATAATTCTCCCAACGAGAAAATTTTCCAAAAATTTTTTTAAATATATTTACTTGAATATATATTTACTTTTATCCTTATTTTAATTATGTAATTTACTATTATGTATATACTAGGGTGGTTCCAAAAACAGCATTTTCAAAAAACATCTGTTACATGCACCTTAATGTGTTCTATATGATAAAATACAGTTTTTAAAAGATTTTGAATAAAAAAGTTTTTCAGGTGTGCCTCAAGACCCTTGAATATTTAATGGGTTCCTAATAGTAATAATATATTTTTTTTTTTCAAAAGTATGTTTCGTTGGATCTCAAATGAAGCGAAATGATATAAAAATTTCAAAAATAACCATTGTTTGATAAAAAATCATACATTATAACAAAAAAAGAATCAAAAAAATTTTTATAAAAATTAATATTTTCTATTTTTAGTTAAAAATGTCATTTTCAGTAAAATCTAAAATAATAATTTATTTACAAAATGATGATTATTTTTGAAATTTTTATATAATTTCACTTCATTTGAGATCTAACAAAAAATACTTTAAAAAACTTTTTTTAAATAATATAAGGGACCCATTAAATGTTCAAGGGTATTGACCCCTAAAAATATTTTTTATTCAATAAATTTTCGAAACCAGTGTATTTTATCATATAGAACACATTAAGGTGCATTCTCCAGATATTTTTTAAAAATTTTGTTTTCTGAACCACCCTTGTATATACAAAGACTTACTGATGTGTATTTAGCTATGTGTTTAGGTTCAGTGATATACTTTGCACAATTTAGTTTTTTAAATGTAATCTTTAATCCAATTTTAAGAAAAGAAAAAAAATAAATTTATTATTTATAAGAAAATAATTTACTTATTTTTAATACTTATTTTTGGTTTAGGAAATTTGTTTTCAGTAAATCCTCGTGTTTTAAAAACTGTTGAAGGTATTTTTAACATCAATGAAAGAGTGCTCTTATCTGGGCGATGGAAGCATGGTTTATTTATGTGTGGAGCTATTGGAGCTTATAATGTTGGCTCTATTAAGTTGAATTTTCCAGTTGAAAAAGTAAGTTCTTTTATTATACTTATCTTTTTTTTTTTTCCTCTCTAAGGCAGAGGGAGCAAAAAAAGTTTAAATTAATCTATTTCAATAAAGTGAAGGATTAAATGTATAAATAAAGAAGAAAATTTATAGTTCTTTAATAGTTTGCAAACCTATATTTCGATTATATATATTTATATATATGTAAAGTAATATATTAATTTATAATAATTTTTCTGTTTATATTTAAAGTTTATTGAAAAAAATAAGATTCTGTTTCTAATGTAATCGTTTTCTCCTTAATTCTCCTTACTTTTTCTTTCAAAAAATTGTCATTGGCGACCAAATCTCTTTAAATATAGGAAAATATCTCCTTAAATTATATTAATATCTCTTAAAATCTTTACTTTTAGCCTCAATTTTTAATAGTGGGAACCTTGCTACTGCAAATAAATTTACGCTAATTTTACTGATTTCTGTTATCACGGCATAAAGTGGATTTAAAAAATACAATTTAACTTAACTTCACTGCTTACATCTTAGAAATTTTTTAGTATGCTCATATTACCAAGGTGCTTATATTACCTTAATCTACTCTAATAGTTTTTCCTTTTTAATTATACATGATTTATATGATATATATGTGATATATATATATATATATATATATATATATATATATATATATATATATATATATATATATATATCAGTGGTGTACACTGGACTTTTAGATGTTTGAGTTTTGACACTTACACACATTTTGCAAACTCCAAACTTTTGTATGTTCATGCTTATGTCAAATGAGAATGTTTTGCAAAAAATTGTGGTGATTGGAGCTTGGGGACAAAAAAAACCCAATTTTCGGGCCCACCCAGCCCTTAATGTGGGAGCAACAAGTTGATAAAATAATTTCTTTAGTATTTTTATCTAAGTTTATAATCGTCAACAAATTTCAAATTTCATCCAATAATTTCTTATTTTTCGAAAATTATGACCATATATTGTTTTAACCCTCCTCAATTTGAGGGGGCTGTAAACTTTGTAGGGTCATAAAAACTGTAAACTAAGAGGTTATTGCATGAAATTTGAAATTCATTGATGAATATAAACTTAGATAAAAATACTAAAGAAATTATTTTATCAACTTGTTGCTCCCACATTAAGGGCTGGGTAGGCCCGAAAATTGGGGGTTTTTTGTCCCCAAGCTCCAATCACCACAATTTTTTGCAAAACATTCTCATTTGACAAAAGTATGAACATACAAAAGTTTGGAGTTTGCAAAATGTATGTAAGCGTCAAAACTCAAACATCTAAAAATGCAGTGTACACCACTGTATATACATATACATAAATATAAATATATATATATCATGTAAATTATGTTATTGTATTCTACAAATAGAACGCTCGATGTTCTTAAAGCAATAATAAATTAGTAAAAACACTTATCTAATTTTGTCTTCAACAGGCTGTTTTTCCTTCTGTAGTTTCATCAGGAACTATGTCTAAATATCAAAAATCACAAGTTATATTAAAAAAATGCTTCACAGGAAGTAATATATATATATATATATATATATATATATATATATATATATATATATATATATATATATATATATATATATATCACATATATGTATGGGTTATTTGGATTCATTAATAAATTATTTTTATTTAAAATTAAGTATTTATAGAATTTTTAAAAATTTCAATTTAAAATAATTTAGTTGTTTGAGCCTATACCTTAACTCAGCTAACCGCAAAAATGAAGATTTAAAAAACACTGATTCAATAGTCTTAATATCATGTTGGAAAAACCAATGAATTACAATTTTAATTTGTTTAGCCATCATATCAAGGTCTTTTTAGCTATAAGGGTAACAAACTTGTGTAATGCAATTTAATGTGCATTTTGGCATAACATAAGTTTGAAGATCATCTAGGTAGATCATCTTGTTTGTTTTTAATTTATGATTATTTTCTAAAATGCAATTACTATAAAAATAATTAATTCATTTTATAAATGGCTTTTGTTAAAATAGCAATTCGGAACAAACAGCCCATTCAACTCGGATGGATTTCAAGACCGTCTTTATCCCACTGGTGTTTTATTAAAACGAGGTGATACAGTTGGAAGATTCGAACTTGGCTCTTCCTTAGTATTAGTATTCACAGCACCTAAAACATTTAAATTCAATGTGAAATGTGGTGATAAAGTGAAGTATGGACAACCCTTAGGAAATATAAAAGATGAAAGTTAGTTATCTACATCAACAAGGTGTATAAGATTTTTTAACTTTTCATGAAAAATCTACGAATAAATATCTTACGAGATTTCCTAGTTTTTCATTAGAGGTCTAATAAGAGAATATATGATGATTGGTCGCTCTTATCTGACGGGTTTGTTGATTTCATGCAGTTGCTCTGCATTTAGCTTTATAACAATGATATATCTTACCAAGAAAATCGATTGAACTAATAAAATCGACAGGATATTTTAATAAAGTTATATGGTGGGACAACAAATTCTTAAAGAAATGTTTTGAAGTCGATAAAGTAAGGTATTAAATGACTTTTAATTAGGAATATTAAATAATTGTTCACTTTTTACATTTTGAGTGAATTGTGAGATATTTATGCCATGTTTTGTATTGATTTATTTTTTAAACAAAATATAAAGCTTTCAATATTTTTTGTAAACCAAGATCTGTTATAGTTTGTTCTGTGTTGTTTTCTACGTTTAAAATTCATCTACTAGTCGTGTAGTAATTAGCTACGTTTAAATTATTTTTTTTATTTGAAAAAATGAAAATCATCAGTTATAGTATGCAAATAGTGTATATTTGTAAACAGTGTTCGTGAAGATAAACATTCTTTCTGTATCCATCTAATTGCAGTTCTTTTAAAAATTTTGTATCCTCGTCAGTTGCTAATACTTCTGTTTTGAATGTTGATATTTATTATTTACTACTGTTGTATTTTATATTTTTGTTATTACTATTATTCTATTTTACATTGTTATTGTTATTATTTTTATATTATTATATTTATTGTCATAGTATAAATATAAATATATTTTAAAAAAAGTTTTATATTTTAATGTTTTTATTCTTTTTTTTTTTTTTCTATCAGGCTATTTTTTAGTGGTTGAACCTCGATTTTTTTTTTGGTTATGTTTACATTTTTGAAAATCAAATTTTCAGCGCGACATTTGTTATTTATTAGACACGTTTGTTATTTATTTTTTACACCTCAACAAAGTTTAGATGTAAAATAAATGCTTAAACGTACATTTATAAGACATTAACTTTATAATAATACATAAGTTTTTTATCTCAATACATCTCTTTTTTATCACGAATCTTGAAATTGTAAAACTTAATCGATATTGCAATCGTTAATCATAATAGATTGATCGAATTAGCAATTATTAATCACAGTACACCTTTTTGGATAAAGATCGCTATAAAAGATCTTTTTTTAATACAAACTGCATTTTTAAACCTCGAATAATTATTACAATTTCGACTATTATCGTGCACCCTACTTAAATACCCTACTTAAGTGGGGAAAACGATAACCAATCCTTATTTGGTTAAAATTTCTACGACAAAAGGGCTCATATAGAAGATTGGTATTTCTCAGAGAATATTTATGGCTAGATTTTTAGGTAAATAAATCGTTAAAGACTGCAGGAGAAAGAATATTTTTTACACAAATATACAAAACATAGAACATTCAAAATATTGAGTTCGTAAATATTTGATAATCACATTAAAAAAAAAAATGTTTAGAGCGAGAAAAACGATCGGTAAGTATTGCATGTAGCGGCAATAACGAGATTGTAATTTACTTATTTCTGTGCTTGCAAGTGCAATATTTGCATAATTTGCATAGTTCATATCTCAAATGAACTTTTAATAAAATAATTTCACTAAAAAACATAATATATCAAAATACAACTCAATTTCATAAATCAACAATAAATATTGTCAATAATGTGGTTAACAATAAAGAAACGATCCAAAAGGTTAAAACGTAATTTTAAGTAAATCTTAACGTATATCTTGAAAAAAAAGGTTTTAATACTTAAATTCTTTTTTTTAATTGAACTGAATGCACGCTAGGGTGGTTACAAAAACTTTTTTTTTTAAATTGTCTATTTCTTAAGGGGTGCCTTGGTTATTTAATAAGTCTTTAGACACCCTCGACTATTTAACAGGTCTTTATTATTTAAAAAAAAAAATCAGATCTAAAACCAAATTGATAATTATATAAAATATTATTTTTATTAAAGAGTCTATTAATAGCCGTGGCTATATAAAATATTATTTATAATTACGAGCCTATAAATAGCCGTGCACAGCGGTAGCGCACTTGCCTCAGAAACAAAGGATCCATGGTTTAAATCTCACCTCTAAGCAAGTTTTGCAGTATCGGTTAGGAAAGAGGCGTGAACTTCCAATTAAATGTTCATCCGCGGTGCTCTGTGATAAGTCTAAGGGCGGAAGTCACATAATTTAAAAATTGACTTTTTTTTGCAAGTTTGTATAATCAAAAAATAGCTCTATCTCGGTCAAAAGTTTTTTCTAGCATGTACAGTGTCTAAAAGTTTTGGTTTATTGTTAAAAAAACAAGAAGCTATGCAATTATTACAATTTCTATTATAACCTGTGAATAAAACGTAAGACATAAAAAAGAAATAAATAATATTTACAATAAAGATTTCGTTAACAATAGAAATATGACAATAAATATAACAATAAAAATTAGGAATAAAAAATGCGGAACCTCGAAGAAGTCCTTGAGGTCTTGTCGTATAGAACTGCTGGAATCAAAACGCTTTAAATGAATTCATTTTTATTGAATTTTTGTAAATGTTTATTCGCTTTTGAATTGGATCTGTTTCGATAAATAATTATATAAACCGTTGTTAAAAATAATATACTTCAGTATATTTATTGATGAGTTTGATGACGTCATAGTGTGTTGGTGATGTTAATATAAATCGAATAGATTAAAAAAAATAATAATTGAATTGAACATTTCTTGCATTAAAATTGTAGAAAATAAAATCAGGGTGGGGTGGACATTCTTGTTGATAATTAGCCCTTGTTCTAATATAGTTTTTTTTAAAGTATATATTATGTTTGCATCTTTACCATACAAGCGATCATAGGTGGTATCACCGAATCCTAATCCAGCCCAACGATTGCCAAGCAGTTTTAGTTGGGTATTCCTACGCCAGAGGTTATGCAGCACTATTCTTTTTTTTTTTATAAGTACAAAACGTACAAATAAACAATTTTTGTATTATTAAAATTTTTACAAGACAAAATTCTGTTTAGCGCATGCGTGTTGTATAGTGTACAAAATAAGGTAACTATTCGTTGTTTATAATATAAAGTGCTGGCTATTAATCCATGCATTTAAAAAATATATGCAAGTCCGTCGTACCACAGGGCTACTAGGGACTTGCTCGTGGACGTTGTTGAATATATATATATAAAATTATTCTTAAAAAATATTTTTCTTTGTTGTAAGGAAACTCGCAGAAGACTAAAATAGTCTTTTCATCGAGAACCTTTAAAACATAAAATAAAATTTAATGAACTAGTTGAACAAATACACATAAGTATTTTGGTATCTACTATATAGTAGAAGTAGTAGGGCTTTTTATTATTACTATTTTTCCCAAATTGTTTAATACATTTCGATGAAGTTGGTTAAGTTAATTATGATATGTCTTAGTTTTTTTTTCAGAGCAATAAGGTTATCCATTTTATTAAGTTCCATATTTTGAAGTATTACTTTGTTATATAAGTATGGGCCACGGTATATTAAAGAAAATCGCTAGAATTTTTTTTTTTTAAAGGCAAGATGAAGTTGCCTGTTCCTCGTGTGATATATTTGTTTGCGTTGATTTGAAAAAAGCTATCAGTAAAGTATTTCGGAAGAAATCCGAGTTTGTATTTTAGCATGAATAACATATTTTGGTAAATATTTACTTGATAGATATTTAATGCATTCAAATTTTTAAGTAAAGGGTCGGCATGAGTGAATTTATCTTTATTATAAATTAATCTTGATGCACGTTTCTGATGTATGTAGAGTGAATTTAATTTAGTTTTATGGGTGCTTCCCCATGCAATATTAGCGTATGTTAGGTAACTTTGAATATAAGAAAAAAAGAGAATTTTTAAGTTGTCTTGGGAAAGCATAGGTTTGGCTTTGTAGAGTACGCCGATACTTTTTGATATTTTTGTGTTTATTGTATTAATATGGGCTTTCCAATTAATATTCTGGTCAATAATTATTCCAAGAAACTTAGTTATTTCAGTTCTTTTGATGTTTATTTTATTAATTTTTAGTGAAGGTAGAGTGCCTGGTATAAAGTTTTTAAGATGGTTGGAGTAAAACAAGATATATTTTGTTTATCTACTAACAGCACATATACACCCATATATATATACCAGTATACATACATAAATACATACATACACAGAAACACATACACATTTATACATAATTTATTGATTTTATTTTATTTTTTTATTTTTAATTTCTTTTTTTTTATTTTTTATTTTTTTTACAAAACCGTATTATAAAAACCGTAATAAAATTTTTTTGTTTTTTGTTATTTCAAATACTAAGTAAAAGATAAAATAAACCTGAAAATTTATACATACTAGCAATATATAATATAAAGCAATATACAATACGAACTCAAATAATAAATATTTATACATCTATTCATAGCTATAAGTTTCAGTACAATCTCAATGTAACTATATACTTAGGTAAACTTAGTTTTAATAATAGGTAGACAAATCCATAATACTAGTAATATAGAAAAACGTTCTCCATAAAAAGAATTAGATTTTTAAACTTAGTTTTGAAAATAGAAAAAGAGGAATGTAGATCAAAATTTTGCAAAATAACTTTATTCCAAAGATTAGGTGCACAATAATCAATACAAAGCTGATTAAACTTGGTTCGACATAAAACTTTATTTTGCAAATTGTTATTTCTCAGTGCTTACTTATTGTCTGGTTTCAAAGTAAAAGTATTTTTAAAAACGTCAGGAGATTTTTCCACATATATACAAAAGATAGAGTATTATATAAATTCACTTTATAAATATTAAGTATTCTCATTTCGTTAAATAAAGGTTTTGAATGAGTAAAACGATCGGAAAAATTAATAACACTTGTCTCAGAAACGTTAGATCCGTGGTTCAAACCCCACCTCTGGGCAAGTTTTGCGACAACGGTTGGGAAGGAGACGTGAACTTCCTATTAAATGCTCATCCGCGGTGCTCTGTGATAAGACCGTAAGGACTTCTTGGGGCACCTTAATCAACTTAAAAAAAAAAAAAAGTAATACGAATTGCTTGTTTCTGACGTGAAAAAAGACATCAACTTATTCTTTCCAGCACTTCCCCAAGCAATATTTGCATAATTTATATAATTATGGATAAAAGAATGATAGAGTTGGGTCAAGCTTTTTTTATTCAGATAATCTCTAGGTTTATATAAAATTTCAATATTTTTAGAAATCTTGGTACATACGTGATCAATATGCTGTTTCCTTGTAATGTGCTCATCAAGATAAACTCATAAAAACTTTATGACAGAGTCCCTCTTAATCTCAATTTGGTTAATAAATATTTTAGGCAGATTTATGGGTAGGTAACGTTTTTTTTGAAGCGGGTGGAAAAAAATCCATTTTGTTTTATTAGGATTAAGATTTAATTTGTTACCCTTGAACCAGCTAGATATTTTTTTAAGTTCGTCATTTATATTACAAAACAGTTTGGAGATGTCAGTATCAAAAAGGAATAGGTTAGTATCATCAGCGAACATAATGTTCATAATAGATTTAGGCTCTTTAATTAATAGTTGGCTATTGACCTAAGTTGGCGATTGCTTGTTTATGTTGTAAATATTTGTAGGCCTAAGACAATAAAATTAAATTTTAGGGTAGTCTATTATCATATATGGTATATTAACTTACACCCCATTGTTTACAAGACTAGGCCTAGCCTATAACTTTTTTTATAAAGTAAAAAAACAGCTCACTGTCTAAAATACCTGTGCAAGTGCTATTTTACCTAAGACAGATAATGGTTAGTGTATTTATTCTCATTTTAACAATTAGTGTACTATTCAACATTTCTCTTTACATCTATTCTAGATGTAAAGAGAAATATTGTGACACTCTACCTTTACCACGAGGAGCAGACTGAAAAGTCTCCAAGCGAAAGTTGTTATTTTCTTTTGAGTTACCTGTTTACTGTTCCTTAAGAATCTTAAGAATTTATTGAAATCAACTATGTTAATTATACTGTGGGGGAAAAATAAAAAACCATTACTTTTTAAAACTTTTTATGGCGCTTATTCATAATAAATGGATTAAAAAGGTCAACCAATTTTTCCCAATCAGAGGGCACAGATTTTTGTCGTTTGACCTTGACTTTTAGTTTTAAAAAAGAGTTGAGAAGGCATTACAGAGTGTAGAGCGTTTAGTAGGTAAAAGACGTTGTTTTTTTTTAGTAGGTAAAAGACGTTTTTGTTCACACGCTTTAACATATATTTTACCAAAAGGTGTGGACTCAAAAATATAAGATGCTGATTTTTTGTCATACCTGCAAATAGCTTGTCAAATCAAAGCTTTTTTAGCAAACTTATCATTTTTTGTGTATTTAAATTTCTTACCTGCTTTTCCTCTATATTTGGAATTATTATAGACAGCACCAGGAATTTGCTGATGGTCATACTTTATATAAGTTTCATCATCTCCAATAATTCAGAAATTTATAGAAATATAGTTGGCATAGAACTTTCTTTAGTGGGTTGCTTGCTTATTTTTTGAGTTTCAGAACAGTTAGGCTCTTTTTGTGATTTGAATGCTTGAGAAACATGTTTATATCAAACTTTTACGACAAATTAATAAGAAAATTTTCATATTTTTGTGCTTTCCTTTAGTGAGAGATTTTGATTATTCAAAAAATTGTGAACCAGTTTTTTAATTAGTTTTATATCTTGAAAAACCTCCTTTCTTCCATTACCAGATTAGCATTTGATTGTTTTTTTTTAGGAAAAACGTTAAACAACGTGACTAACGATGTAGAAATGTATTTGCAACATTTTTGCTACTCAGTTGTACCTAAAAATTAAAAAACAATTATCATTGCTTCATTGGAAGCATATAAATTTTAATGACAACGCAAATAAAATTTATGAGAATTTTTTTTTAACATTTTATTCTGTCTATGATGCCAATTTTCCCATCTGTGAAAAAACAATAAATCAAAAAAGCCTAAATGCTCCTTGGATAACTAAGGGTTTTAAAAACCATCTGAGATCAAACAAAAGCTACATATATATAACTTAAAAACAAAAACACCTTTTAACGAAAAATTATACAAAGGTTACGAATATCTATTTGAAAAAACTTGTAAAAACTTAAAAAAGAATTACTCAAATTGAAAATGTTAAGAACGACTCTAAACGTACTCGGAAAATATTAAGAGAAATTGGTGTAAAACAAAAAACTTGCTCAGGTTAACTACCACAGGTGATTAGAGTGGATAATAAAGATACTTTTGAACCTAGATTAATAGCTCATGAGCTATTAATCTAGGTTCAAAGCCCATGGAGCTGATGAAATAAATGGAAACATAGTCGTAGAATGCTTTGAACGATTAAAAGATATTCTCTTTAAAGTTTTCAGAGCGTCAATACAACAAGGAACTTTTCCTGATAAGTTAAAATCAGCTAAGATAAACCCAATATACAAAGAAGGAGACAGAACTAATATATGTAACTACCAACCTATCTCTATTTTATCAACATTTTCAAAAATCTTAGAAAATATTATTTACAATAGATTATATACTTATTTTAAGGAGAAGAATTTTTTTTTATGAAAATCAGTTTGGTTTTAAAAAAAAATAGTTCTACTGAGCGTGCAATCATCCAATTTGTCCGTGAAATCTCTAACTCTTTCAAAAATTCACAATTCACTTTAGGTATTTTTTGGATTTATCAAAAGCATTTGATACAGTAAATCATGGCATTTTGATTGATAAACTTGAATATTATGGAGTGGATGGTGTAATTTTGAAATGGTTTAAAAGTTCTTTAACAAACCAAAAATAATTTGTTTCCTTTAACAATCCTTATCAAAAAAATGTTTTAGATATTTCATGTGGTGTCCCGTAAGAATCAATTTTGGGACCACTTCTTTTTAATATACATACATGATTGCATAAAGCTTCTAATCTTTTAAGTATTATGTTTGCGGATGATACTAATTTATTTTTATCTGATAACAATATTAATAAACTCTTCACTACTATGAATGAAGAACTCAAAATATATTCTAGCTGGTTCAAATGCAATAAACTTACCCTAAATATTAAAAAAACAAAATGGATTCTTTTTCATTCGGTAACTAAAAAACGTTATTTACTCCGAACTCTACCTGGTATTTTTATTGACCAAATTGAAATAAAAAGAGATTGCATCACAAAATTTTTAGGCGTATTCCTTGATGAGAACATCACATGGAAGCAACATATTGATTATGTTGGTATTAAAGTTTCAAAAAATATTAGAATTTTTTATAAGAGCAGAATCTATAGAAATAAAAAAGTTTTATCCCAACTTTATTATGCATTCATTCATAGCTATGTGAATCATGCAAATATTGCTTGGGCAAGCACTGAAAAAAGTAAGTTACAATCTCTCTATCGCCGTCAGAAATATGCAATACGTGTAATTAATTTTGCTGATCGTTTTTCCCACTCTAAACAACTTTTTTATGAAATGAGAATACTTAATATTTTTAATATTTTATGCTTTGTATATATATGTAAAAACAATCTTTCTCCTGCCGTTTTTAATGATTTGATTACCTTGAAACCTACCAATAAATACTCTCTAAGAAGTAACAATCTTCTATATGAGCTTTTTTGTCGAACAAGTTTTAACCAATTTTGCATTGATTATCGTGCATCCCATCTCTAGAACAAAATTGTTTTGCCTAATTTTAATTTTGATCTACCATCTTTTTAAAGTTAAGTTGAAAAATCTTTATCTCTCCTGTATTATCAAAATTTGACAATAATATTTATATTATGGAAATATTTATTAAATTTTCTTCTCTATACTAAAAAGTGATATATGTATGTATATCTTATTTTTATTTTTTTGTACTTATAGTTACTTTATAACCTAATTTTTTGTTTACACTAGTATAAGGTTTTGACGATAAGATCTTGCTGATCTTCTTTCAGATACCTAATTTTTCAAATGTTAAAAAAATATATTAATACAACCACTGAAAAAAAAATACGTATTTACTCTTTCGCATTTATTTCTTGTACACGCTTCAGACCCTTTTGTTCCTAATATTTTTTATAAAAATTTGTAAATAATTCATAAATAAACATTTAATGAAGATTTGTTGCAGTTTATGACATCTTTTACTATAGCCCAAAATTAAACTCATAGCAAAATAAGCAGTAATTATTTTTTAAATGTTAAAAGGGCTGAAGCCATATCGTTAATTGGTTTATAGGTTCTTTAAAAATAAATATAAAAATATATATGTTGGCTTTTAAGATGAGAAATATTATACTCTTCAAAATAAATTTATTAAACCATTAACAAATATTTGTTAAGGAGGTAGTGCAGTCTTTATTAGTTTACCAAAATTTTGCATTGCTGTACTTCTGCCCTTTTAACATTTACCGATTCATATATACATGTATATATTGATTTTTTTAAAATTGATTTATAAATTCGTTTACAATTTTTATAATTAGTATTGTTTAGAAAAGTTTTTTTTCTCTAGAAATTTGTTATATACTCGTTGTTTTTCTTAGAAGAATTTTTTTTTTTTTTAATAAGCATAACGCTTATATACCTAGGCTCAGATTATATACATACAGAGGCTAAGATTTTGTTCAAAAATAAGCATAGATAAAGGGCCATCCATAAAGGACGTCATCCAAATAGGGGAGGGGGGGAAGAGGGGGTCGAGTTAAAAAGGACAAAAAAAGACAAGGGGACGGGTTGTCAGAAAAGGACGTCACTTTATAGATTTTTTATTTTAGTTTAATTAACATGGAAAACTACGTAAACATGTGTTTTTAAGAAGATAATGTATGAGAATATTTTTAATTTTATTTTTCAAAGGTGTAGCAGCAGATTCAAACATCATTGCAAGATGAAATAAATTTTTTTGGAGTTAAAAAAAGGGGGGGGGGGTAGGTTTTTATGACGTCTTTTTCAAGGGGGTATAGGGAAAAAGGACAACCGGTGACAAAGAAGGGGGGGGGAGGGGTCAAAAATTGGCTAAAAAATGGTGACGTCTTTTATGGATGGCCCCTAAGCATATTGCTGAGTTTTGACAAACCATTTAAATGGCTAAATAAAATTTAATTAAAATTTTTGATATATGTTTTTTAAAACTCAAACCATTTAAATCAATACAAGAAATATGGTATAAATGAAGATGTCAATGAATTTCGTCAAGATGACACATTTATTGGTCCCGGGAAGAACGAAAACAAAGTTTTATACCTTTGATTTTATTGATAACATTTTTTAATGTTTATACGTGTTATTTTATTGATAACATTTAGTTTTTTAATGTTTATACGTGCTATTTTATTGATAAAATTTAGTTTTTTAATGTTTATGCGTGTTATTTTATTGATAACATTTAGTTTTTTAATGTTTATACGTGTTATTTTTGATTGCTATACTACAACATCGTTTTTTTTTTTAACAATATTGAAAATTTTTTGGAAAATGTGTGCGTTGTTAATATTTTAAAAAGTATTGAAATAAACATATCTTATTAGAAATATCCTTAAGCTTAAGTATAGTTTGTTTTTACATATTTGAAACTCCTGAAAAAGCCATGTTAAAGTATTTATAATAAATTGATGATCAGCGTTTAGATTTAATAACTGGTCATCGCAGTTGACACTTGAAAAGGTTATGAAAGGTTATCAAATGGAAAAAGTTGTTTATTAATCTTGTTGTTACTTTCTTATTTTTATGGAAATCATCTATATTACATTTTTGCGAAATAATCTATTTGGAATAAAATAGGTAATAAAATAGGTAATAATTTGATTTATTATAGTTGGACCCCTTCTTGTTAAGTGCTTTGTGCGCATGTGCGTAGTTATATGCGAAGGTTAATTGATAACAGGAATTTAACTATTTTACAAAAATGACATTAACCTTTTTTTTTATCTTTTCACATGCATCACAATCCATAAGCTGGTTTATTGATTCCTAGTTAATCTTTTTTTTATTATTTTCTACTTGGCTGTGGATGTGTCTGCAAGAAAAAAGTTCGTTTTTTTTCTCTATTAACCATAATTGGTTGTTTTGTTTTATAGCTCTTGGTTAGATACATAATTTAAATATTTAATTAGTATAACTAGGCGGTCATTACTTAATTTTTAATGCGCTTTACGCAAAAGTATTTCAACAGTCTAAACATAAAAAATCAAATAGATGATCCATAATTTGTCCATTGCGTACTGACTGCTTGAGAGTTATTGAAATTAACTACACAAGATTGGTATTCAACTGGCGCTTGCGCGTAGTTTGAGTAAAAACTACGCGCCTGAGCAGAGGAGTATGTTGAAGAATGAGCTTCAATTAAAAACGGTCTATAAGATGATAAAGATGTCGGTAAATAACAAGGAAACGTTTGAGATTTTTCTAATGCTGCTGAAGAAATTTGTTGGTTAGAAGAGTTAAATGAAGAGTTTTGTCTTATTGCTTGTTGATTTACATCAAAGGAACTTTGTGATTCTGAGTTATTTGCTTTAAACACAGCCTCCACAGATTTTGCCGGCAATATAGAAACTGTATTGCGAGATTGTTTGTTGTTAACAACCGTAGACGAGCATAACTTTTCTAAATCGCAATCTTTATCTGATTGAAATGGTTTCTTTTTACTTTTTTGGCGATGCTTAGCACGTCGATTTTTAAACCACACCTAAAAGAAATTTTTGATATATCTGAATATTGACATAAATACAATTAAACAATTTAAAATGAAGTTGAGGTTTATAAGTTATATAGCTAATATTTTCAATAAAAGTTTACATTAAATAATAAAATATATAGGGCAAATAATATATATTATTTTCCTTGTGTGTTGTTTATGTATATACATGTATGTATGTGTTGTGTATGTATATACACTGTATGTATATACATTCAGTGGCGTAACTAGAGTGTGGCAAGCATGGCACGTGCCATAGGCGCTAACTTAGAGGGAAGGGGAAACGCAAAAAGCGAAAATGAATATATATTTATATCTATAAAATTAATTTTTATAGATACAAATATGGATTAAGGTAATACTATGTTCAAAATACCAAAAGTTTTGGTTTTTTAAATTTAAAAAATAGAGTTAAAAAATGACAATATAAATTAACAAGATAGTACGGCCTTATGATAATGCAACTCTATGGCTGGACACGTGACTGGTGTTTATCAAATAATCATGACAAAAAAAACATGACAGTATTTGTGAATTATGATAATCATTCACTAAATTTGGTAAGCGTCGATGTAGCCAAAAAAGAAGTAATGTCAAACGTTTTTGGAATCATCAATTCATTTTATGTTTTCTTCTCTCGTTCAAGTCAGCGCAAAAACGGAATCAGTCAACAAATATCTCAAGGAATATTGGAAATCTTCCTAAACATAATGGACAATGAGAGCGCGACTAGTTACACCAAAAGCACAGCAAAGCAACAGTATAACCGAATGTTAACATATGATTTTATAACGTTTGTTGTAGGGATGCTGAGTCTGAAGAAGACTCCGCCTTTATATCTTTATTTTTTGATGAAAGATTTATTTTTTAAATTTATTTATTAAAAAAAAAAAATTATATCACTATTTTTCCGGTCTATTTTCCCTAATCTATGCTGTCCAGAAGCTCTAAACTTGTTTGTTGACTAATAATCTGGTATAAGAAAAAAAATTCACGAGATTTAATAACTTTGAACTTATTGTTTTTAAGGCCAGAGCACCGGAGTCCTTGCCGCTATTATACCCAAAGACTCCGGGGTATTAAAATTGATTATTCCTTTAACCTAAGTCTAAATTTTTTTCTCATTAGTTGTCCATAATCTTTTATATATTTAGAGCTCCTGGATATTCAAAACTATTTTCATGATAAAAGAAAAGTGTTAAAAAGAAATGGAAAAAGATATAAAAATGGACATTCGACCCCTACTCAATGAATTAAAAAGTAAAAGAAAAGTTTGCAAGAAACTGATGAAAAACTTTGGATTTTTTTTTGATATGGAAAGGTTTTGTTTTAAAGCCGAAACAAGCTAATTGATAGAGCGTTGAGAAGAATTTTGGAAAACCTGCTGTTGTGATGTGGATAAAAAAGAAATTTATGACAAACTTTAAGAACGCTGCTAACGAGCATTTCCCAAAAATTTCTCGGCCATAACAATTACTCAACATTACAGTTCAGTAGCATATTGCTGACAATTGCAGTTTAATACCGAGGTTTACTATCGTAAAGTAAATTTTGTAGAATTTTTAGTGATTTATGGTGCTTATCTGGCTTTTCAGAAATCTAGAGAATACTTTTTGTTATTGATTATGTTTTCCTTTTTCATTAGAATTGGTTTTCAATAATTTTTAATTTCTGCTGAATTGAGAGGTACATGGTGCAATGGCTGCTTTGGCCATAGTTGTGTAATTGATAGGAAAGGATGCTTGAGATTCCTATATATAAATATAAATATATATATATATATATATATATATATATATATATATATATATATATATATATATATATATATATATATATATATATATATATATATATATATGAGCAGCTGTGGCGCAGTGGTAGCGCACTTGCCTCAGAAACTTAAGATCCGTGGTTCAAACCCTACCTCTGGGCGAGTTTTGCGACATCGGTTGGGAAGGAGGCGTGAACTTCCTAATAAATGATCTTCCGCGGTGCTCTGTGATACGACCGTATGGACCTCTTGGGGCATCTATTTATTTATATATATATAAATATATATAAATACTTTTCTCAATTTAAATTCAAAATATTTTTTTTTTATAGTTTAAAGATTTGAGTTGATAAAATTGAAAAAATAACAAACGATTTTTTTTTTTTTGCTAAAACATTGTAGTATTGTTTCAATAAAAAGTGGCTTAAAATTTGAACTTTAATGATAAGTTTTAACAAAGAATAATTGTATATATAAGAAAAAGTTTCTGATATAGATATTTGGTATCTAAATGGATCATAAGTAGTGATTCCTAAAAATTGTTAACTTTCAAAAATTTTGGATCCAGCTTAATTATTTTTGAAAATATATTACAATTTTTGCTTAAGGTGCTTATAAGGTGCTTAACAGAAGCTAATTTTTATATCGGTTTGATATATTGTTTCCAAGAAAGATCAAAAGTAAGAGTTAATCCTAGAAGACAAAAGGAGGTTGACTCATCGTGAAGACGAAGGGTAGATGGTTTATTGAGTACATAACCATTCATAAATATCGGTAGATATAGATTGTTGCAATAACAATTTGCTGAAAAAAAAAAGAGTTTTATTTCAGTTAAAGTTCATCAATCACTGAGAGCCCCTTGCTATATCAGAAGTGAGATTCTTTTTAAACTCTAATGCTCCCTCCAAACAATCAGAGAGTGTTGGTTTGTAGTATCATTAGCAAGTAATGCAACCTTAGATGCGAGAATTTCAGGGAGATCGTTAAAGTAAATTAAAAAAAGTATAGGGTCAAGGATAGAGCCTAGAGGAACCCCTAAAGTTAAAAAAAGTAAAGAAGAGTGCTGTCCATCAAGGACAAATTTTATTCTACAATTGGTAAGAAAGGATACAACAATTTTAAAGATATTACCTGGTACACTGTTAGAAGAAAGCATATAGAAAAGACCGCTATGCTAAACATTATTTAAAGCTTTAGAAAGTTAGCAATAGCCCTACCCTCTTCACATTTATTTAAACGCACAATAAAACCTATCTATTTGAAAAAAAGTGAGACACTTCATGATCGAAGGCGCATCAAGGTCGACCCTGTATGATATTCTGCAGCGCAAGACGCTCAAAATAGGTCCTGAAAGACAGCGTGGAACTGGACGGGTAGCAATCAAGATAAACACAAAGCGAATCACCATGCTGAAAAAGCGAATCGATCATAGTGACGGAGTTAGCCAGCGTCAGCTAGCCCGCGAGTATGGTGTCAGCCAAAAGCACATATCAAAAACAATTAGCACCACGACAACAATCAAATACAAAAAAAAAAGAAAAAAGTTCCGGATCGAACTCCGCAACAGAAGTCAGCCGTTCGTCCGAAGTGTGCCCACCTGGCCAGAGTTTTCCAGAAAAAGAAGGTGATCATCGATGACGAGTCGATGATCACCTATTTTTTTTTTGAGCAATAACGAGCTATCTGGAAACGCTGTTTTCTACACGTCTGACGTCGAAATGACTCCAGAAGCTGTTAAGCTCAAGCGCAAGTCCAAATTCGAGCCAAAGGTACTTGTTTGGATTGCTATGTCCGAGGACGGCCTGTCGAAGCACCTGGTGACACCTTCGGGCCAAGCGATCAATCAAGATGTCTACATCCAGAAGTGCTTGATGAAGCGCTTGATTCCGTTCATCAAAACAGTTCATAAGAACGAGGAGATCGTTTTCTGGCCTGACCTCGCTACGTCTCATTACGCAAAGAAGACGCAGGAGTTCCTCCAAGCGAATAACATCGAAATTGTGCCTAAGGAGCGCAACCCAGCCAATGTGCCAGAACTCCGACCAATCGAAGACTTTTGGTCAGAACTCAAGCGAAGAGTATATGATCGTGGCTGGAGAGCAAATACCGTGGACCAGTTCAATTACAGGATCAGCTACTGCATAAAACGGATCAGTCAAGATCGTGCATCGACTTGGCAAGGCTTCTTTCAGCCGAGTGGACAAAGTTCGCAGTCATGGCATGATAAACTTATAATTTTTTTAAATCTGAAGCTTCATATGCTTAACTTTAATCATCTTTTTACAGAAATAACCTTTAGTTTCAAAGTTATAAGTTGTTTAGTTTTGCCACGGATTTCTTGGTATCACATGTTAAGTTATCTGACCTTTTGACAATTAATACAAGAACGTTTTTACAAAAACTAAAAAACTGCTCAGAAGTTCTAAAGGAAGATTTATATATATATATATTCAAAACCTTTTTACTATCCCTAATAGTGAATCTAAGGATCACCATTTTGGAGTCTTTAGATTTCTATCAATTTTCACAGAAAGTACTAGAATTCTGTCCAAGAAAGAGCTTATAATTAAAAAAAGTTGTCAATAAACGATCAGAGCAGATCATATTATTGAACTATGATGTTCATTTTACTTAAAATTTATTTATTTTAAGTGTTTATTTAAAATCTTATTCAAATTTGGACGAGCGATTGTAATTTTAAGATGATTAAAAAAAAAAAAAAAAATTGCTTCATTAATCTTTTGTTTAAAATTAAATTGCTTCATTAATCTTTTTTCACAGAATTCAAAAACTTTAAATGCAAAATTTTAACTTTGAGTAATAATAATATGGGTTTATATCAACCAAGTAGTTTGCAATGTCCATAACAACGCCATAGCAACCAATATACAAACAAAAATATTTCCAATGTATAACTGCAAAAATCAATGCATTTTAAATGTTAAAAAATATTTGAGTATTATCGTCTGCCTTGCTCATTATTTTGGTCATAAGTTGATACAAAGGTTGTTTAAAACAGTACTTCTAGTATTTTGGAATTTTGAAAGTTATACTATTTACTATTTGTATTCTTTTAAGAGCATAATGTCTAAAGATAACAAGCAGAAACTTGTTTTAAAAAGAAGAGAACTAATTTTTACCTTCTTAATTGTTGTAAAAATGACCAGCAAACAAACTTTCATTCATCACATTATCAACAACCACAAAAGCAGAATACCCTCCAACAACAATTTTCTTGCGAAAAAAATAACCTTGAAGATACTGAAAGCTCCTTCATTTTGATTGATATGACTATTTTGAAGAAAATATTTGAAATTGTTGTATCTAAATTATGCAACACATCACTGAAAATAACTGATATATTAGATCTGAGAATGGGGTTTTCGCATTGCATTGAGTTATATTGTAAGAACTGTGAAAAAAACTAACCAGTTTTTTAGCTCAAAAACTATTTCTACAAAAACTATTTCTACTAAATAGTGTAGACAGATTCGTCTCTTAATGGAGTTACGACAGCATTGGTTGGTAAAAAGTAATTCGACTATGAAGTTTTTTCAAAACATTGTAGTGCTTGCCAATATTGGTAGTATAAAACTAATAGCCCTAAGTATGACGAATGGGGTGTTAACCATATATGCAATATTAACCATAAAAGCTCTTCTGGTTCAATGGAATCAGCTGGTGCTATCTCAATATTTAAGCGCTCTATAGCAAAGTATAATTTTATATATACATCATCCAATGATGTCATGCAAAGTAACCCATATAAGAAGTATATTATCACTTCTGTAAAGTTAGAATGCATCGCTCATGTGCAAAAACGTCTTGGAATTCGCCTCAGGAATCAGCTTAAAATAAATAAAATAACACAGACCTGTCTACAGGGTAAGGGTAAACTTACAAAATCAGTAATAAACTCTCTCCAAAACTATTATGGTTTAGAATTAGAAACAATGTTGATAGCTTATATGCAATGAAGAAAGAAGTTTGAGAAGTATTTTTTTACTGCACTAGACTTGATGATCAAGAATACCAACATAGAATGAGCCCACGAAATGAAAATAGTTGGGGCTAATAACACTACGATAAGATTTATGGTACAACCACATACAAAGAACATATATCGTTATCAATAGATATTTTTAATGTATTAAAACCAATTTTTCAGGATTTATCAGCAGATGAATTGCTTTCAAAATGTCTTCATGGTCGAACGCAGAATGCAAACGAGGCGCTTAGTTTAATAATCTGGAAACGCTGTCCCAAAATAATTTTTGTGAACCAATCAACACTGAAAATTGGAGTAAGTTCTGCTATATTAAATTTCAATGATGGTCCGAATGTTGTTTTGTCTGTATTATCAGAGTTTAGTCTTTTTGGTTATGCAACGTCAACCATTGCAAAGCAAAAAGTTCTACTCACTTACGACTGTCGATAAAAAAAATTAATCCCCCAAGGAATAAAGAGACGTAAACAGTTAAAAAGTATTAAAAAGGATACTCAAATAAAGTAAATAAAACTGAAGATATATTATATAAACCTGGAGGTTTTTAATTTATTATATTTATTTTAGAAACTTTATACTTTTTTATGCTTTTTGAGTAACTTTAATTTTTATATCGCAAAATATCAAAATATACTTTTTCACTAGCTTTCAATGTTTGTAAAGTAATAACTTTTTAAATAATTATGCAAAAGTGTTGAAATTTTCACAGATTAGTCTTTATATTATTAAAATTCATTTGAGAAAAGATTTTTTTCAATGTAATTTAGATCTTGAAATTTTGTTATACTTTAGCTTGCTTTCTTTTTAGCGTTTCATGCATAATTTCTAAAATATTTATTTGTTTTCATTTATTTTCTCTCAAATGAATTATGTTACCATGATTAAAAAATATTCCAAATTTCATGCTTAATAACTTGTAGATTTTGAGTAATTACTATACAAAAAATAATGAATATCTTAACACTTGTAGAGGAGCCTTATTTCATCACTGATGAATTAGTTGATTAATACTAAATATTAGGCACCTATAAGTTATGAAAACTAAACTACCTATATTTATAAAATGTTCTGTATCTATGCAGGGCCATGAGTAGCACACACCCCATCGCGCCGACCTTGTATTTATGTTATTAGAAATTTCTATTTTCAGATTACCTTAGCACGATCAATTCACAGCAATAATTGTTTATGAAATTTGCAATAATTGGTGTGAACTGGTCATGGTTATTGTGGAATTTTCTAAATACCACAGGTAACAGAGCTTCAAAAAACTGAACTTAGTATTTTATAAATATAGGTAATTTAGTTTTCATAACTTATATGTGCCTAATATTTAGTATTAAAGATGGAACCAATGTCAATACTGATCATTTACGTGGTTCCATCAGATATTTGGAAGTATTTCTAGGTGTTCTATTACGGTGTAATATTTGCATTTTGCAAATAAAATCTACCTTTACGACTTTTATCTTTATAAAAATTGATGAAATCACCACGGGCCACTTAAATTTTCTGGAGCCAGTGACTCACAACTAAATTACAGTTTTTTTGAATGGGTTGCTGTTAAGTTTTTTTGAATCTATATTATCTGAAATAAATTTGACATGGTTATTAAAAGCTTATTGAATCCTTTAGCATGTAGTCATTCACAATTTTGTTTTAATACTTATTGTGACATTTTATTTTTAATTTAAAATAGATAGTAGGCCAGTTAGTTGTAGGACAGGGCCTAATGATCACATTGTTCACATTTTATCACTAGCTACGTCACTAGTATGATTGTTACGACTTTCTATAGCGAAAAACAAAATAATATGATGAAAAAAGTATTTCTTATTATCATATTATTTAGCCAGAGTATCTTTTATAGTATGTCGCTGTGGTAAATGTTTGAGATGTTTACTGATAAAAAGTGAGTACTTTTGCTTCTTTTGCTCATTTAAAAGATAACGGGAAACATCTACTTGCGTACCTCTGTATCGAAAAGAAAAAACATTCCTCTATGCCAAGTTGCATTTGTTGCACTGAATGGAATTAAAGGTTCAAAACCTTTTTTTTTCAATACTGCCGATGGCAGAAATTAAACATGAAAACCACAAAAACTTGATTCCACTGCAATCTATAGATTTTTCATACATTTAATATAGATTTTAAAAAATGTTGCAAATACCAATTACAAATTTTGATTTCCTAGAAGTAAAATATTTTTAAAAAAACATTATGTTTTAACCAACCTAATGACAACCGAATCTAATAATAATACAAATACCACAAAGGATCCCTAGACTCAACACAACATGGACATGCTAAATGCTGGTGTTTTTATTATTAAAATTACTGAAGCCATTAAAACAGGCCATTAAAAGAAGTATAGATAAAACAACAAGTTTAATGAATTTGATGAAAATTTGCCTCTGCATTAGTTGGGATCGGGTAAGAGTATTATTAAAAACATTGGATTAAGAGTTTGCGCATTTATGAAACTGTGACTAAATGTACGTAAATAATTATGCTGAACATTTTGTTGAAAAAGAAACAAATGAAATAATTTCTTTCTTTAACCATTACATTACAACCTGCTTCAATCGCTCAATTAGTAATACTTGTTGATAATTATTTTTTAGAAAATAAAAATAATAATTTATTTCTATACAACAAAGTATTATATATAAACATCCCTCCATTAGAAAAGTTTTAATTAACTCTCTTATCTTTAACCATAGCCGTTTCCTCTCTAATAAAGCTTATGACAGAGTAAAGAAGAAAAGGAAAAAATATTACACTGTCATCGGAGTAGACCTCGTTCATAAAAACAGCAGTTCAATAAAATTACTGATGCTTATGTAAAACAATAAAAATATTAACAAAGCTTTCTTAAAGAATTGTTTGTTTGTTTTTTTGTTTATTTTAGATTTTGGTGCTTAAAATTTTTTTGAATAAAAGGTAGTTATCTTTTAAAAAATGTTTTAAAACCCCAAATTTTATGGTATAGATTTTAGTCGGTTTTAAATGCAATCTCTGAAAAAAATAAAATAAAATAAAAAAAGAAATACAATGTTTTACCCCAATTGAGGACAACTTTGAATCTTTAAACTCAATTTTCTCAAAACAGATATTTTGTAACACATATACCTTTTTAACCTTCAATTATCCCAGTGAAAAAAAAACGCCTGTCACATGGGTTCTTTTGCGGACTCCGTATGGGATTTATAAAAACCCACATGAAACAAGTAATTTTTTTTTTCACTGAGATGCTTTATCAAAAAATTATTGCTTATGATAAGAATGTACCTGAACTCTTGATTCTGGTAAAGATATTCTTCGTGCAACATCTTCTCGCATGAATACATCGGGATATTTTGTTTCTTTGAATAAATTGTCAAGAATTTCTAACTGAAATTTAGTGAAGGTCGTTCTTTCGCGACGCTGTTTTCTTGGAAAACCTTAAGTTTAAAAAATATATAAAAAATAACAAAAATATTAAAGTTTGAAAAAAGTTTTATTTTATTAAATTTAGTTTAACAAAATAAGTGTAAAAAGTAATAAAAAGAAATTACCATTGTAGTTATATGGAAAATATGCAGAATAATTATTTGAGACATGATGAGAAAGGGGAAACGGTGGCGTAGGGCTGTATGACCAACTCATTAGGCTTTATAATACTGTAGAAATAAATTTACTTAGCCAATCTGCAAAAAAAAAAAAAAAAAAAAAAAAAAAAATTGAAAATAGTTAAATAAAATGGTTCATTTTATTTAATTTTTGTTTTTAGCTTATTTAATTAGTGTTATTAATATTAAACTAAATTTTATGGGTATTTAATGTATTTAGGTATTTAATCGTGTTTAGAATAAAAAATTATATCGATTAAAAGGTTAAAATTAATGACTAATTTCATAAATATTAATTTAATTTAGATTTTATTAAACACCCACTATACAAGTAAGGTAAATTAAGAGTTTCAGACAAGATAAATATAAGAAAACTTGAAATTTCTTTTTTCTTTTTTTTTTATAACGTGATTATCTAGGAAATATTTTTTTCAAGAATATCCTTGAAGATAGTTCTCTGTTCTTTTGAGTTCCAGCACTCAACTGCACATTTTAGAGTTTGAAGATCCGTATCAGGAATTAAATTTTTGAGGCCGTTATGTTAATACTTTTATTTTATATGTTATTACTTTTATTATATTTATTATATTATATTATATTTATTATTTTACTTTTATTATATTTATGTATATGTTATTACTTTTATGCTACTTTTATTTTATATGTTAATATTTTTATTTTTTTTCAAATAATTTTCAAAAAAAAAAAAAAGGAAATTTTTTTTTGATTCCTTTTTTTTTCTTTTTCATTTTTATTCAAATTTGTATTTCATCAACCATATAAATCCAATAAGTTGCCTTTTTCAACTTTCTCAGCTAATCCACCATATAAGTCCAATTAGTTAACTTCTTCAAAATTTCTCAGCTAACGATAAAAGGCATTTCTAGAAAAATAGTCGTATCAATGAAAATTCTAAAATTAATATTTGATGAAAATCTTCATTAGAAAAATCATATTACGCTCAATGAAAACAAAATTTCTAAAACAACAGTTATTAAACATAAAACAAATTATCTACTAAGAAAAAAATGTTTAAAAGATATATACGTTTATCATTGACTACGTTAGTCATATTATCATATGTTCTAAACGTTGCTTGGGTTAGTATAAGCTCTTACACATCAAAGAAAGTACAAAGCAAAAACAAATCAGCAGATTCGAATGTAATGTGCTATAATACATCCACGTCAAGCCGTTACTTTAAGAAATAAAAGATATTAAAGTCTATGAGTTATAATTGTAAAAAAACTTATTGCGTTAAAAAATACATAGGTTTAAGTGTTAAGATGACACGCAAATATTGCTAATGATCGATTTTCAAAAAATTTGAAATAAATATTTAACGAAGTGCTCCAATCGTAACATTAGTTTACCGAAACCAATTCTTAAAAAAAAAAGAGTGATGTTGTGCTAATGTTGTTGTTGTTGTTTTTGGTGGTGCTGCTGTTGTTGTCGTTGTTTTGTTGTTAATGCTGTTGTTAATGTTGTTTTTTGTTGTAGTTAATGTTGTTGTACGTTTTAAAATTAAGTATGATGTTGCAACATAATGCTGATAAAATAATTTTACTTTTTCTAAAAGAGACTTCATATTTGGTCAATATTATACGCTGATAATGCAGTCATTTTAATGTTATCAAAAATAATTTTAACTTATTTTTAGACAGAAATAACTTTATTGACCAGATTTAAAATCTCCAACAGAGTCACCCGTTGGTTCACAAAACCAATTAAAACCCTAATAAATCCATAAATCGCCAGTAAGTGGTAAATGTTTTTAAAATTAATTACTAAATTTTATTATGAATACATATTTTAGTTCCTCTTTTTTTTTTTTTTTTTTTTTAATGTAAATATTTTTACTTTTGTTGATAATTTTATTATAAACATTTACTTTTATTTTATTTTCATCTTAATATATTTTATATAAATATTTTTATATACATACATTTCAAATTGATTGGTATATGCATGCATAAATACTACATAAAAATTATGATTTTAATAAATGCTATTTTGTATTCTGTTTTAAATGGACTTTTAAATTTGCATAAAGGTTAACGACTTAAAAAGTTCTTTGAATATTTAGTAGAATCCTAGAGAATTTACTCAGTCAACTTTTATTGATTTTTATTTAAAAAGAATTTCTGAAGATATTTTTTTTGTTGATCATTTATTTATGTCCATAAAAAATTATCTATAAAAAATAGCCTCACCATTTCTTGGCTTACCTGATTTTGTAACTGGTGCTCATAAAATTGCTCGGAGAATACAATTAATGATCAGTCTGGAAATGTGCTTACGGATAATGCAACTCTGTTTTTGTCTTTATAAAAAATATAGCATCATCTGCAGGAAGTAAAACTTTGACTTTGTTATATTAAGAAGAACAACTTCAGATTACAATCACAATTTGCGATGTTTGTGTTATGTTTAACCATCAATGCAAACCGCTAATCCACTTATGGTAGGCATTCTGCATTACTATTTAGCGAGTGGTTATTGATTTGCTTAAAACAATTGGTAAAGCTGCACGCAACATACTTTTGCAACTAGTATTTCAATAATGGTTGCATTTAAAAAAATAGTTTAAGCAATTTCATATTAAGTGTTTAGTTCTCAAAAAAAGTTGTCTTTACCATAACTAAATACAATTTGTTCTAGATAATACGCGGTGTCATTTCGGCATACGTGTTAACGTCGTGTCGGGAAACGTCTTATGTTTATCACTGGTTTCTAAAAACATAAAATTTTATTTTTGTCATGATAATTAATTAAAGGCCTCCAAATAGAAAAGATAAAACGTTTTACTGTTTTACTCCTCAAGAACGCTTTTATTGAAGAAGATGGAATGGTTTTTTTTTTGTTGTTGTTGTTGTTGAAGAAGATGGGATGAAGAAAATGGAGCGGGTTAGAGGTTTAAATACTAGACAATTTGGAGATCACTGTAATCTTTAAATAACAGAATTTGAGATGTATATATCTTAATTTTAGTTTTATAAATTTTAATTTATGGGTATTACTCGTTAAAATAACGGGCTTTTTTTTATGATATGTATTATATATTTACCACTTGTTTTAAACCAATTTTTTTTTTTTTTTTTTTACAATTTCTTTTTTATGAAATTTAGGTTTTATATATAACTATATTACTTATTAACAATATTTTTAAAATTGTAAGATCAGAATCATATTTTGTGCGCCAATGTGCACTTAATATGTGTATATTTATCGGTGTCTCTAATTAATTAAAACTCAATAAACAACAGCTTAATCTTATTAATTCCTAAAATCAAAACAAGTAAAATCCTTTCTTGTACGGTGTGAATAGAGATTGCGAATTCCCGAACTTTTTTGCTATCCCGGGATAGCGGGAATTATTTGTAGCATTCCCGGGATCCAAAGGGTAAAACCCGGGAATGTACAATTAAAATAAATAATAATGAATAAATTTTTTTTTCTTTTCACGTTATTATTAAAACTGTTTTTGTGATTTAAAGAGACTTTAGAAAAACCAGTGCATCTATATGACTGTCTGATACTCTAGTTCTAAACTTTGTAAAAAATAAACCTGTTGAACTAAACGCTCTTTCAGCTTCAACACTGGATGGTCGAATAGTAAAAAGTGCATTATAAAGCGTATCTAAATTGTGTGATCTTTTGTCAGTTGCTTAAAACAAATTGAATTCTTGACGCATAGTTGACTTATTGCAGTTGACGACAAATTTGTCTTTTTTTTCACAAATTTTTCTAACCTTTCAGCCATAGATTCTGATAATTTTTTCTAAACTGACATTACTATTGTTTTACTATTTACTACTATTTTTTTATTAGGGTAGGGTGGGGCTAGTTGGGCAATTTTTACTAAATCTAACAGATCTCTTGAACGGTACATCCAATTAATATATTTTTTTCACTATTAGAAAGATAATTTGATCTGCTAAAAAATGGTTGAGACAAAAAAACTTTTTTTGATTTGTTTTAGAAAATATTTTTTTAAAGTTTATTAGGCTGCTCAACCTACCCCAGCGGGGTAAGTTGAGCAATGGCGTAGGGTAAGTTGAGCAATAAAAAAATAAATGCATTTCAGTGACAACTATTAATACTGTTATAAAACCAAAACAAAACTTCCTTATAAATTAAATAGATACTTTCAATTTTAACAAATTATTTAAGATATGAATATCAAAACTAATAATTTCAATACTAAAACAAAAACAAAAACAAAACTTTTTAATCTTAAAACTAAACACAACTTTTTTTAAACATTTTAAAACTTGTTAATATTATGATAAAATAATAACTAAACACTTTATGTTAGTCTTCATTTTCCATTTTGCAGTTAATACAAGTATAATTTTGACCAGAATGTGAATCACATTTTGAATGAGACCATCGATTGCAACCTTGACACTGGATCCAATTTTCTTCTGGTAGACTTTGAGAATAGGTTTCCCAACATACAAGACAAGCATAATCGTGTTCTGCACTTGTCTTTATTTTTTTTTTGTCATCTTTTTTTTTTTTGTTTGATTGTTTCTTAACTTTTTTTAATATACTAAGCAGCAGAGTCTCCTTAATACCATGATCTGCAAAGGATTGGCTGGCAGAACTTTTTTTTGGTTTCTTTAAAATTTCTTTCTTCCTAGTTTTTTCCTTTGTTTGTTTCTTAAATATACTATGTAACTGAGTCTCTTTATTACCACACTCTTTATTAATATTTGAAAGGAATTGACAGGTAGATAATTTTTTTTTGTTTCTCAACTTTTTTAGGTTTCTTAGTTTGCTGCTGTTTTAATATAATTCTTTCTGGAGTATCTGTTAGCAGCTTTCCTTTTTCTTCGTCTTGTCAAATGTATCTTTATTGGTGCTGATTTTGGGTAAGGTCGCACAGTTTCTGGAGAAAATGCTTTAGGAGTTTCAGGAATAAGTAACATTGTCTCTTTATTAATACTACTTTTGACAGATTGACCTGAAGATGATGTTAAGCATACTTCAGAATGAGCTAAATGTGATAGCTCAGAAACAAGATTTGCTGGTTCTATACGATCTGTGACAAATGATGGTAAAAAATCATCATCAGCAAAAATGTTTGCATTGTACGGGTATACACCAACTTTTTGAAAACCTTTTGTAATGTTAGTACACGTTATAGCTAATGGCAATGAATCAGATACAATTTTTGGTATATCATAAATTGTTATGGCTTTTCCAGGATTGTTTCTCAGCCATGCATCTTGTGCAACTGATAGGTACTTTTTAAAAGGTCCAAACACTTATACATCTAGTGGCTGCAGCTTATGGCTGCAGTGTGGTGGGAAAGACAACATGACTATTCCATTCTCCTTTGCTAAGTTTAGTGTTTCAAAATGCAAATGAGAAGAGTGATTGTCTAAAATTAACAGAATTTTATATTCATTTGAAGGCTTCACATGCCTAATTAAATGCTTCATAAAATTTTTGAAATAAATATCTGTAACCCAGCCACTTCCATTACCTACCCCAATACAGTCCGGTGGACCATTATTAACAAAATAATCTTTGTAATTTTTGAGGGAACACAAGTATTGGATGTACTGTATTTTCTGAAGCAGATATAGCGGTTACCATTGTGACATTATGCCTCTTTCCATGTCATAGCACCAACATTTCTCTTGCCCTTTGCAGCCACAATTTTACTAGGTTTTACAACTGTAGATACACTAGTTTCGTCAACGTTCCATATTTGTGAAGCACTGAATATATCCATAACAACGTTCCATATTTGTGAAGCACTGTATATATCCATAACTTCACCTAGCTTATCAAAAAATACTTTTACATTGGTAGCGTTAAATGATGTTGCCCTACCAAGGCTTGTTGCTTCAGGTTTCCTTATAGATAATTGAGGATTTCTTTTTAAAAAACTAGTCATTCACTCTTTACCAGCCATCTTATTTACTTTCCAAGAATCTGGTATTTTGATTTTGTATTGAAGAGCACACTCATAAGCAAGAGATCGAACATCTTTTGGAGTATAGCCGTAAAATATAGATGCCATTTGCAATAAATAATTTTTTAATGCGCTTTCTTGCTCTTGGGAAAAAATTAATCTAGGTTTTGAATGACCCATGGATGGGTAACCATCTTGATGTCAAATTCTTTAGCAGCTGCACTAACACTTTTTTCCCCTCCAAAACAGAACTTGCTGCATCACTAAGCTGTTGGCTTGTGAAGGCACCATTTGAAGTTTTTCTTTTATAATTACGCATCCTATAATATATATATATATATATATATATATATATATATATATATATATATATATATATATATATATATATATATATATATATATATATATATATATATATATATATATATGTGTAAAAGGTTTAAGATATTACCTTATAATTATAGTTATGAGTATTTTATAATGATTAATTTAAAAGTGTGAATGGATCTTAAAATGTTCACCAAACGAAATTTTATATTCGCGTCTGATAAAACCGTTTTATTATCGTTGTCAAATCTGCTCAACATACCCCTACTAGACAAGGCGACACATCAGTTAGGTTATAAAAAGAATAATAAGGCTTAGGAAAAAAAGGATAAGTATAACCAATAGCCAAATAAATGGGTAAAATATAAACACTTAAGTGATTCCAGATAAATGTTTTTTTAAACATCGAAAAATAGCAAAAATATTTTTTTTACTTTTTTGGTCCAAAATCGAAAAAGTGTCTGTGCATGTTACTGAACTGCGGTCCAACAACTATTTGATGCGCATTTTGTTACCATTCTAAATACCTATCTTTTATCCATTAGATGTTTTCCATGGGATGAGTAGTTTTTGAGATATTTTAGTTGCCCAACTTGCCCCTATGCTCAACTAGCCCCGCCCTACCCTACTAATATTGTTAAGGCTATCATTGTCAATAATTTTATTTCCTACTTTTGGTATATTTTAAAATATGGAGAAAAGTCTCTCAGGTAATTCAATAGCTATACTTATCATCTCTATTTTACATGGTACGCAAAATAAGTAATTATACATGTCACTTTTTAAAAACAGTTTACAACGCACTTCTATAAGAATTATAACATTTTCTCATTTACAATCTAACATCCAAAATATGTTTTTTGAATTAAAAGTTCTAAAATTTTAAGATCTTGTGAAGCTTTATAATTATCTCTTTGTGTTTGATATTCTTCAAAATAAACTACAAAAGTTCGTTCAACAATTTTTTTATTAAAACAAGTGACACACACAAGTATTACAATCGAAATACTGAAAATTTTAATTTGCACACCTTTTTTCAACACTATCAACTGTAGCAGCTGATTAGCTTTTTTCTTTTCATGGATTATTGTTTTTTTGGTGAGCTTAGCAAAACAATGAGGGTGCTTAGTCTGGCACTCAAGTGTTGCATCTTCAAATTTAGCCACATGTTTTGCAAACTGTCTAACCTCAAACATGACTTCTTTGCCAAAGTAATTTTCTAAAGCATTATTGGATTTTAGCATACTGATTGTTATTTGCTATTTTAAATTTAAATTTTTGGACAACAGCAGCAACAGTATTTTTTATCTATAAATCTATTAACATTATTTTACGCAACGACCTTAGTATTAGTAAAAGAGACAGAATGAGTTGTCATTCATTGAAGTATTTAACAAAATTACCGAAAACATTATAGCTAATTCTTTTCATAGTCAACCCAGAGCCGACGACACCGGGAGAACGGGAGAAGGAGGGAGAAAGGTGCTTCCCCTCCCCCTCCTCCACCACCACTTTTTTTTTTAAAGGTTTTTTATATACAAAATTTTAGATATAGAAGACTTTTTATAAAAATTTACGATTTGTCTCATCCACTTCAAAACCCGTTTCGTCGGCCCTGCAACCAGCTGCTAGTTTAAAAAAAATAGCTAAAATCTATTTTTGTGTTCTGTCGTGACCTCAGGCGCGATGCTTGTTCATCCGCGAGTTACTTTGTATGTATTGTTTGTGTTTATTAACCAGAAACTTCTTATATGTTTGTTACATAATTAGTTTTATTAACTTTAACGATTATAACTTCATTGTAAACGCAATTATTTTTGTAAGTCTTTGTTTAACTCGCTTCATAAACGCAATTATTTTTGTAAGCCTTTGTTTAACTCGCTTCATAAACGAGTGGTTCCGAGTTCGATCCCCACCACGTCCCTGATAGTACCGCGCTCAACTCGTTTCTCCGCGCAGCGGCCTTGTTCATCAAGGTTCGTGTTTCGGAGTTATAGAGTTGAAAGAGGGTTATAACCACAAATAAGTAGCCTCCTCGTCTGTAGTGGCCTTCTCGGCCTTGAGGAGGTGAATTAAAATAAAAAATAAAAAAAATTAGTTTTAAATTTCTTAAAACTAAAATAACACGAAAACATGTTCACTTAGCAGACTAGAAATTACTTAGCAGCAAGGCCTTCTTAAACAGGCCGCGACAGCTCATTTTCCGTAAAATTAGCGAAGGCCGACTTTTTTACGGTTAAAATTATTTTTTATCTTTGCTTTTGTAAACAAACTTCAGAAACAAATAAAAAGCTTTATTAGGACAAAACATTTTGATTGAATTTCGAAAGCAAATATTGTAGGAATTTTTTTTACGTTTAGAAATAAGTTAATTACAATAAAAATTTAAGGAGTTTAGCTAAAAATGACTAAATCTCGTTTTTATAACTATATGTTTATTTTAGCTGTTTAACACTTGTAATACAAATAATAAATTTTTTGATAAAAACAAACAAATATATTAACTTTATTTTATTAAAATTATTTTGACTTTTTTGACTCAAAGTATTTTATTTTGAAGTTAAAAGTTTTCTTGTTTTATTAAACATTCCTTCCCAAAATCTTCAGAGTGTTTTTTACAATAACTGTTTAAAAAAATGTTTGCCAAAATGCAGCAAACTTTTTTAACACTTTGAACAAGCAATTGAAATTTACTATTGCAGTTAATAAAAATGTAAATTAATCCTTTCTTACACAGCAATGGTGAAACTTTATTCACAAGTGTCACTTCAAATATAAAAGAACAATAAAAAACAAAGTAGACTAAATTGTCAGAAGGTTCTCTTAGTCTTCCCCTATTCAAAGAACTGATCAAAGTTCCATATTTTTGAAACATATCAAAGCTGTCTGTTTCTTCTAAAATTGAATGTAATTCTGGAAGTTTGTAAGCAATAAAACCTGCAATATATGAAAGTCCTTGTTTGCATTCATTTGGCAACTAATCCTCACAATTTTCACATATTGACATAATAAACTCCACATCAAGTTCACACTTATCACAGTTCTAGTTTTGTCGATTCTAAATTTTTGAATAACATTTTGCACAGTTATCAGATATGTGCCACCTGACCCTTGCCGATATTTCCTAAACTGTTTTTCTAGTGCATCTGATTGCATATGTCCTAACAATACATAAGATACACCACAATTCAACAAATACTTGGCACAGCTTGCTAATCTTTTAGAAGTTTTTTGCAAACACTTGCAGTATCCATTGTTAACTTTTTCTCTCTTAATTTTGAATTTACGCATTTCAAATTTTCAGCAAAATACGAAGTAAAGTTCTCTAAGAAATCTATTTGCCAATCATTAACTGAAGTAATAGGCTTTCTTTGAATATCATTTAATCTAATATCTAGACCTTTTGCTTTACTGTTGACAATAAGCCATCACTTAACAACTGTTTCAATAAAAAGTGCAGTATATTCAGCTTCAGGAAATTTTACACGTATTGCTGCAACTGTTTCATCACAAAAAACTTTAAGAACTAATCCAACATTTTGTCGTTCAATTGGTTTTGTTGACAACTTAACTATTCGACTATCTGCAGCATGAAGTTGAATTATAAATTTCCATTCTGCAAGTCACACAGTATCGTTATCATTTAGCAATCTATATTTTAAACATTGCAATTTTTCAGTGATCCAATTATTTCGAATACATTTTAAAATATGCACAGTGTCATTTAAAAGATAGTATGCTGGAACTTTTTTTGCATTAAAATATTGAAATATTTTTTGGTTTACTCTATAGTAATCCATTATTAACCAAGAGGCTTTCCACCTGCAATTATGATTTGTTGATTTAATTCTTCTATCACGCTTGTTTTAAAATTTGTTGTAACTTTACAAACTGGAAAAACTTTTATAACAAGTCGTGGGCCACCAAAAAGACAAAGGAGCATTAGTGCTAATGGTGTATTGTTTGTTTTATTTAATAAAGCTACTTGATGCCTAATATAACTTGCTCACTTAGAATCTGTTTCATTATTAATAACATAACTAACAGCATTCTCCAGTTGAGAATAATATTTAATAACTCCTTTGTTTAAAAAAGACAGTTTAACTTGTAAAAGTTGGCTATATCCAGTAAAATAAATATCTCCAGAATCTTCTAAAGTTATATATATTGAAAACTTAGGTACTGGTCCACAATGTTCATATGATATTAAAGATGTATTTTTTTCTTTTTCAACAAAATAAAATTTTTCTTCACAGTAATTTATTATTGACTTCAAATTTTTTACAATTGTATTAAATTGAATAACGTCCATTTTTTTGAAGTTTTCGAACTCATCAGGTAAAATATTTCTTTCACTGAAAGAAATATATTGAAATATGAAAGAACCAGTGTCTTGTATTCCAATAGTGTCTAGAAAACGAGATGTCACTGGGTTGATATGACTGGGTTGATATGCTCTGAAAGTTTCAGAGCATATCAACCCAGTCATATCAACCCAGTGACATCTCGTTTTCTAGACACTATTGGAATACAAGACACTGGTATACCTTTAAAGACTGATGGAGGATGCACTGGAACAAAACTACCACCTTTGACTCTTTTTAATTCTGCATCTTTAGGCCAGTGCTGAGCACAAATTCGCTTATAATCTGTAAACACAAAGTTTGCATTTGGAAGTTTTTTAATCCATAACTCGCGATCCCCGGATTTAAAGGGGAATCTATACATTGTGACATTAACATTATCTTTTACTTTTGATTTGTAATTTGAGGAGCAACCATAAACGCAGCATTTATTAGGCATTTTACGAGTTTAACTATTATAGTTTAAATCAAACAACCAAAATCCTCATTGAAACTATACTTCTCCGTAAAAAAATCGGCCTTCGCTAATTTTACGGAAAATGAGCTGTCGCGGCCTGTTTAAGAAGGCCTTGCTTAGCAGACGGAAACATATTTAATTAGCTCTTACTTTAACATAAAGTTAAAAAATTAAAAATTTATTTAATTTATTTCAACCAAATAATAAATAATTTTTTTTAATAATTAACTACTTTAAATTTTTAAATTATTTTAAACAATTTTGTTAATTATTTTGAAATTATTTCAAAAAAAAAACGTTTTCAAAAAATAAAAAAGAAAGAAAAAGTTTGCCAACAAAGATATTTTGGATTTTATAAAGAACAAATGTTGGTTTAATCAACCAATCAAGCAAGGCTTTTTTAGCAGTGGCGCATTTCTTTTACATTTTATTCACAAAAGGTCACATTTTAAAATTCACTGTATGCTTAATGTCTTAAAAAAGATTTAACCTCTAACCACTGTTTTATTTTAAAAAATTAAAAAAAAAGAGGTTTCGACGGTTTCCAAATATTAAGTTATTACCTAACAAAATCAAAAATATTAACATTTTAATATTTATTTTTACTATTATTACAAAATCAGACACTGAAATAATTCGGACAAACTTCTATGGCAACTATTTTGAAACCTTTTGTTTAAGTATGGTGCAATATGCATGGCGCATAAGAACTATTATGTATTTACTGATTTCATGATAATTGTTTTGCTGCGTCATATCTGATTGTATAACTCATTGTTGTGGTCTCAGCTGTTGTAAACATTTCACACTGGTTCAATAGTACTTTACCAATTAGATATAATAAAAAAAAAATTGGCATTTAAAGTACTTTTATTTTTAATGTAACACATATTTTTTTACTGAAACGAATGAATCTTATTTTGATCGGAGCTTTCCTAACTTTTATTTTTTACCCATATGTTTATTCACAAGAATATGATATACTTGTGCTGGGTGCTGGCTTTTCAGGGCTAGGTAATTACTTTTATGAAAAAAAACTACAAAAAAAAATTTGTTTTATTACATAGATTTATAATATTATGATCAAAAAATTTCAAATAGATCAGATTCTATGAAACCACAAATAGGGCAACAAATATCACTTTTTAAGGAGAATTAAATTTTGAAATATAAATGAATCAAATAAAAAGATCAAAGATCGAAAAAAAAATCATACAAATATAAAGTTACGTAGCCGATAAAACTTTTAAACTAATTTTCCAACCTTTTAGGTGCTGCTATTCAATTTGGAAAAAACAACGTAAACAATTTTTTAGTGCTAGAAGCAAAAGACTATATTGGTGGAAGAATAAAGCAAGTACCTTTTGGTGGTGTAACAATAGAACTTGGTGCTGGGTGGATTCATGATGCCGATATTGTACCTCACAAATACTACGATCTCTCAAAAAAATATAACATGAAGTTACATACTGTAAACTATGCCAACGTTTTATACAAGTATCTGGCATTTAAAATAAATATAATTTCTGTTTTATTACACTTTTTTAATTGAAATTAAATTTGCTAATTTTTAATTTAGATGGAAAAATGGTACCAAGGTTGATGAAAACCTAAAACTTCAGACAGAGAACGAACTTTCAAACAAATATTTAAACATGAAAAACATTGCTTTGAAAAGATACCAAGAAGGAAGAGGTTTAGTTTACAAACGTTTTATGTTTATTTGGAAACGATTATAAAATTACACGACATCATTTTCACAACCCATTAATCATATGCTTAAGATCTTTCCCTTTTATGTTATGTTTTGTGAAAGTTTTTATTTTTCATTTCCTATTTCAGCATCATTAAAATAAATTTAATGATGCTAAAAAAGGAAATGAAAGCCTGACTCGCAAGGGAGTGCTGCTACATCGACTGAGGGTTTGGTTTGGGCAGGCAGTCTATCATTTAAAAAAAAAAAAAAAATTAAGTTTTTTAAACTTTTTCTGGTCTGGTTTATTAACGCGCTCTTTAAAACTACAGTTTATGGGAAACTCTTTCTGACTACCATGCAAGAGTATATATATATATATATATATATATATATATATATATATATATATATATATATATATATATATATATATATATATATATATATATATATATATATATATATATATATATATTAGGTTGGGTAACCTAGATTTTTGGTTAGAAACAAATTTTTGAGCCAAATTAATATTTTCAAAATGTTTTGAAAATAACAAACTTGGTATAAACGAATGGCTAAAACAATCTCTTAAAAACAGTGGCGGATTAAGAATTCTTGGGGCCCGGGGTTATTTTTGTTTTTGGAGGCCTTTTTATGGCCCAGAGCCTATAAATGACTAAAAAAAAAAAAAAATAAGGTCCTCTAAAATTTTTTGGGGCCCCTAAATTTGCGGGGCCCGGGGCTATAGTCCCCCTAGCCCCCCCCCCCCACTTCTCCTTGATCCAGCACTGCTTAAAAATCATTTTTCGAGAAACTGCAGAATTCAGAAAAAAAATTAAAAATGTATATTTAATGATTTGTCTAAAAATAATGCAGCAAAAAGTTAAAACGCAAGCTTCAACAACCACCTTCTATAGAGACAAATATTATTTATCTCTGTAGAAGGTTTAACTTGAATAATCAAAACTCTTATTCATTTTTGACATTAACAATAATCATTTGCTATCAGAGTTATATCAATTTTATCAACTGCTTTTTTGGAAGAACCAGCAAGTTGTTTAGCGGGAAGTTTATGTTGCCAAATTAAAATAGATTTTACCCCTTTTAAAAGCAAAGAAAGACTTTTTGCTAAAAGCAGTAGTGTAATCGAAACTCTTGAGAAACTAGACAAATGTTTGGATAATCGATTTTTAGATAGAAGGGTTATTTATGTTCTTCATTTTCTATTTTAAAAGGAACTAAAGGTCAACATAAATCTTGTAATCAACCTGTAAATAATAAGGATAATAATGAGAGTGGAAACTTCAAAATACTTCAAAATAATTCAAAATGAGGGTAGCTTTTTCTGGTGAAAATTATAAGTTTTTGGGGGTTTTTTATTTTTTTGTAAACAATTTTTGGTTATTTTTTTCGCAGGAGTTTGGATCAGCAACATAGAGCTGAATTTTCTATTTCACAGCAAATTACCAAAACAATTAAAAGAATTTGCTACTTTGGGATAATGTCAGAATATTAACTACTTGATTTTTTCTGTCCTTTTGTTGCCAAAATATCTTCATTTGTTGTCAAAATATCTTCACGTTGGAGTGTTTGCTTATATTGTTTAGAAGGCATTCATCTAAATGGCAACAAAAAATAAAGTCGAATATCAAAAGATAACGTCAAAAGATAAATTAATGCGCTTTTATCTAGGTATCATTTAATTCTTGCATTTGTATTTTATTTTGGTATCATTTAATACTTGCATTGACCATTTCTATAAAAATGGTCTTTGCAAGCAAGAATCAGAGCAAATGGAACTTTATAAAGTTGATCGAAACAAGATTGCATAGTTTTTCTAAAAACGATTCATAAACTTCTACTCGCATTGTCCAAACTTTTAGAAATAATTATATGGAGTGACTTAGATTTGTTTTCTGTTAATTCTTAAACAGTATTAAACTTGGCATTTGTTTTGATGATTTTTTAACAAGTTTACAAACTTCATAAGCCAATCCAATAGCTTCATTGAAATTTAGAAAACTTTGTTGTCATCACCAGTGGCAAAGTTTAAAGCGTGTTAATAGGAACCATTATTATGGTGAAAATAAAATAATCTGTTTACTTTCCAAGTTTTTTTTTCATTCTTTCAAAAAGTAAAGTTGTTTATAAAAGTTTATTTTAGATTTTTTCCTTTTTCGCTCCAGTTTCTTTTAAGTGAAAAAATTGCGTTGCTAAATACGTTATGGTTTACAATCTTTTTTTTTTACTTTTGCCTAATCAGTGTCGTGAAGCGCTCCGATGCCTTTAAATATTTTAGACCCTGTAACTAAAAATTTCATTTTTTCTTTATGGGGAACTCTACACTTATGTTCTGAAAACCAAGATTCTCCAAGATTCAAGCTCTTTTTTACAGGTTTGATAGCCATTTCCGTTAAAAAAAGTATTCAGCTTTTCTCCACAATATTATCAAAACAACAACTCAAATAAAAAAGAAAGCATCATCGATATCTAGGGATGTCATAAAAAAACAATTAAACACAAATTAAACAATTTTTGATTTTGATCCTTAATTTACTTATTCCTTTTACTTGTTGGAATGTTGAAACAATTGAGTCTCTTATGGTTTGATAAAATAATTGAGGCTCTTATGGTTTGGTACCAAATTTGTTATTCTTACTATTTTTAAAGTATAACAAAAAATCACTTTCAGTATTAAAACTATATTTATTTATTATTAATAAAATATAACTAAGTATAAAATTTATAATTTATTTCTTTATACGCTGATGCCTACAAAACACACCAGTCTTTTATTTTAACTGTCTACAAAGCTGTTTAAGGTCTTTTTTCTTATTCAATTTATATTATTTACACATATATGTAGAAAAAAAGAAGAAACCATAAGTACAAGTTTGCATATTTTGGAAGTATATATTTACAGTTTAGCTTGCATATTTTGGAAGTATATATTTACAGTTTACTCATAACCACTGATGCAGAAGCTACAGTAAAAGAATGAAAGATTTTAAACTACTCAATGGTGTAAAGTTTTTCAGAAACTGAAGTAAGGAATGAGTCATAACGCACATCAATGTACGTCATTGATGTTAAGTTTTTGCCGTAGATCAATTGAACCTGTCATTTCGAAAAGGACACAAGTCCATTTATTAAAACCTTTCGAAATCTACAAAAAAATGATTTTTATTAAAATAAAGTCTACGCTACTAAAGAAATTAAACATAAGAGTAGATAAATAAAGAACGTATATAACTTATGTAAGTTTTATTTTATATAAAAAAAATTTAAGTCATACAGAAATTTTTAATTTAAATTTATAAACTAACTGTTAATAATTTTGGACTTGGGTCCTTTTCGAAATGACAAGTTCAATTACTTTTAGCTAGTTTTTTTATAGATAGCAAACAATTTTTCATTTTCAAGGAAAATCTATTAGTTGTGTTACATCACATAGTTGCATACATCACTGCAAATTGCATTCAAATTAAAGTGTCTAAAGGCTCATGACATGAGTATTCAAATATTTTTTACCGATATTACCGGTGTAAATATAATAAATTGAATAAGAAAAAAGACCTTTAACAACTTTGTAGACAAATAAAATAAAAGACTTATTCAAGATTTTAGTTTTATTAGACTTGTAGTTTGGGCCTGATTTCAATTCAGAGTATTTTTTATTTGAACTGATGACATTAATGACTTTTCAAACTTTTCAAAAACTTTTTATTTTACTGTAATCAAATCAATTTTCATGACTGATGTAAAAAGAAGTATTGATACTAAAGCAAACTTTGCTTTAATATCAATTCAGTGCAGACGTCCGTGCACCGTCTATACAATGTCTAATAGACGTCATAAGTCCGTAAAATGTTATTAAAACGTCCAGCAGACGTTTTGTTCCCGTTATGTTAATAACAAAGTGCAAACATTATTTTTATGTTTCTTTTTTAACTTTTAAAATCTGACTTTATCATTACATAGTAGCTACGTTTACAGAACTTGAATTTCAACTAAAATTTAAAAAAAAAAACTTTATTATTTTGTAAAATGCTAAAATGAATAACTTATAATACACACACATACACAAATAAAAGTGATTATTTAATCCAATAGTTTGATAAATTTAGGTGGAGTCAATATGAGAACAGCTTTAAGAATGTCTGACTGGATCCCAGATACATACATGAAGCAAGCAGCAGAGTATTTTCGACTTGATTTTGAAAATGGAGTTATTCCTGAAGATATTGACGCTATTACCAGTGGTAGTACAGGCTCTGGTAAGAGATCTTAGAACAGTTATGCTACCAACCAAGCACCCAACGATATTTTTGTGAAAAATTTACTAAAAGTGTTTTGCACTAAACCCTTATATACCCTCTAAAATCATGCAAAAAATTTTTTATATATATATATATATATATATATTTTAAACAACAACCGAATTAATTCATTGTGTTGCGCATCTGATTTTATATTAGTGAAAGTTGCGCAACCAATTGTTGGGTTAATAGGTATGTAAGTAAAAGTTGCTTAAGGTTAGGTAATTGGTTTTTGTCTAACTAATAAAAATGTTAATATAATTTTTTTACATTCTCTTTCACTTGAATACTCATTTTTTAATTTTAAGGAAAAGATTATATAAACACAGACCCTCGTGGTTACAGTTTTCCAGTTTTGGAAGAAGCTAAGTTTATTAAAGACAAAATATTATTAAAACATGAAGTTACAAAAATAGAACAGCTTGCAAACAAAAAATACAAAGTTTATACAACAAAAGGAATCTTCTCCGCAAAGCACGTTTTGGTCACATTTAGCACTGGTGTTTTGCTGTCGAAAAAAATTACGTTTATACCCGAGTTACCATTATGGAAAACTGAAGCGTTGAGCATGGTTCCTATGAACCATTATTGTAAAATTTTTTTACAATTTAAAAATGCGTTTTGGGATACAAAACCAGAATATATAGTTGTTGCAGGCAACGATCGAGGATATTTTCAGCACTGGCAAACATTCGACTTCAAAACTCTATACCCAGGCAAAAATATTCTTTTGGCAACATTGACGGGTGAGACGTGTAAAAAATATCATTTGATTAGTGACGTTGAAGTGATAGATGAAGTCTTTGCGGTATTAAAAGGAATGTACGCTCAAGCTACAAAACCAACAGGTTTTTCGAAATATTAAAAAAATTATATTTTTTTTACTTAAATAAAAATCTAAAAAAGTTTTTTTTTTAATTTTTGTTATCTTTTAAAGTGTAGAGAACGTTAACCTAAATATAAGTTGTTGCCTTATACCAAAACTTTTTATTAATTTCATTTTTTTAACAATCAAGATTTGTAATAAAACGATGTGTTTACTATAATTTAGCAATACTGCGAAGTTCATGGAGTACTGATCCTCATGCTATGGGATCTTATTCAACTCAGACTGGAGGCATTAATGAAGATGATTATCGAGCACTAGATCATCCAGTAAACGCTTCATTGTGGTTTACAGGCGAATACAAAGGTCGCGAAGAATTCGGCTACGCTCACAAAGCACTTGAATTAGGCATGGAAGAAGCTGAACGAATAATTAAATGTATCAGAGTGTATCATTGCCCTGAACCACGCCCAACAAGAAAAATATACTGCTCTAGGTAGGGCACAAGTCAAAATACGAAAGAAATGTTATTTACTTTTAGTTTATAATTATGATTGTTGACATATATGATTTTATTTCTTTCTTCGCCTTTTTGTAATTTTCTATTGTTTATTTATTTTAAATGTATTGAATTCTCCTTATTTCTGTCATATTGCATATATATATATATATACATATATATATATATATATATATATATATATATATATATATATATATATATATATATATATATATATATATATATATATATATATATATATATATATATATATATATATATAATATATATATATATGCAATATATATATATATAAATATATATTGCATATATATATATATATGCAATATATATATATATATATATATGCAATATGTATATATGCAATATGCATAGAATTCGGCTACGCTCACAAAGCACTTGAATTAGGCATAGAAGAAGCTGAATGAATAATTAAATATATCAGAGTGTATCAGTGTATCCTTATTAAGTCCCATTGTAACAAAAAGTATATAGGTGAAACAAAAATGCAAATAAAAACACGCATGCAACAACACAAAAACAGTACAATAGGAAATAAAACAGAACGATCAGTATTAGCCACACACATGAAACATTGTTCACAACAAATCAACTGGGACAGTTGCAGAACTCTAAAAGTCAATAACAAAAAGTTTGATAGGAAAGTTCGTGAGGCGCTTGAAATACAGTACCACCAATGTGCTCCTCAACAAAATAGTATCAATTTATATGAGGGACAATATGTGTCAACAAAATTCTGGACATCCCATTGACGTATAATAGAATTGCCGTTTAAAAATAACATATAAACAAAAACAAACAAAAATCTTTTAAGCTGAAGACGCTGGTCACTACAATCCAGCAAAAATATCTTTAAAAAATAAAAATTAAATTTAGTATTGAGAGAAAATCATATTTATTGATGTTTATAAAATAATAATTTACATACTCTCATACATGATGTCTACATTCAAATATATATATATATATATATATATATATATATATATATATATATATATATATATATATATATATATATATATATATATATATATATATATATATATATATATATATATATATATATATCTTATACTGCTGAGTTAGGTGAGCATGATGACATCATACTGAAACAGCCTGCTGCCGGTGGCTTCATTACATACATCGACTGACAAATAACGTGACTCGCAGTGGAGTGCTGCTACATAGCCTAAGGGTTTTAAGCAACCTTTTCATTCATTATTGATCATTTTCCCTCTTCGTTTTCTAAAAAACCGATATCGGTTAAGATGAGCTAAAAAAGTGAGCAATTGCGCATATAAATATGCTATAGTAGATTATATATATATATATATATATATATATATATATATATATATATATATATATATATATATATATATATATATATATATATATATATATATATATATATATATATATATATATATATATATATATATATATATATATATTGCATTTCTATTTTCAAGTAGGGGAAGGTTGCATAAGATGGGCAGGTTCCTAGGATAGTATAACCTCTTTTACGGGTAGACTACTGATTCTTTTGTGAATTTTTTTGGTTAAGTATATTCATACAAGTTCGACAGTGTTATTTATTTTAATTTCTTGATTGCATAGTTAAACCCTTTCAATATTTTAATGTTAAAAAAATTGACCACCCCGTTATAACTTTTTATTATTCAATATTTTGCAATTACGTCAGAACGAAACAAGATCATCAAAAATTTAATATATCCTCAATACTTTATTTATGCTTATCTACTGCTAATTCCATGGGTTATATGAGATAATACTTAAGCTGTTGTCATGCTATTTAAACTATGATAGTGCTTGCTAAAGTTGCATAACTTTGCTGCTTTTTATTAAGCAAAGCGCTTTTTATAAAGTTATTCTCCACGGAAATTTATTTTGGTATTTCAAGAAATAGTTTTTCAAATAAAAAATTTTTAAAAATAGTATTGCAAACCTTTTTAGAGATAGGAAAGATTTATTGTTTTTTTAATGGTTGAGATAACCACTTTTTACTTTAGTGTAGTCCTTAAAGATAAAACTTTATTTAATTTTTATTTTGTGATTATTTTTTTGTTATTTGAGTTTTTTGAGTTCTATTGAAAAAAGCTCATCTAAGGAAACTGGTTTACTAAGATGGATTGGGAGTGTTGAAATTAACGCAATTTTTGGTATAAAGACTTTTTTTTTTAATGAATTGTTTATTCTTCTTTAAATTTTTTAAAAGGAATTCCTTAAAGTAATTCTTTAAAAGGAAAGTATAAATTATAATAATCTGCAAAAATATATAAAAAATATCATAATATTTCGGCTGCAAAAAACAATACACTGCTAGCATGCTCAACTTATGCAACCTTTCCCCCTACGTGCATTAAGTAACAAGTTACTTTTTCCGTTAGTAAATAAACGAACATTTACTAAAAAAGCGAACATAAAATGTTTTTAAATTCGAATTACTAATTAGAAGTTAAAATTAATGCTTTTTAGCGCGTTTACGAGAAGAAATATTTTTTTTTTTTTTTTTTACAACACAAGTATCCGTATATATTTCAATACATATTTTTACATATAAGTACAAAACGTACAATTAAACAATTTTTCTACCATTAAAATTTTTTACAAGACAAAATAAATTCAAAATTCTGTTCAGCGCATGCGCGTTATACAGTGTACAAAATAAGGTAACTATTCGTTGTTTATAATATAAAGTGCTGGCTATTAAACCATGCATTTAAAATATATATGCAAGTCCGTCGTACCACAGGGCTACTAGGGACTTGCTTGTGGACGTTATTGAATATATATATATAAAATTATTCTTAAAAAATATTTTTCTTTGTTGTAAGGAAACTCGCAGAAGACTAAAATAGTCTTTTCATCAAGAACCTTTAAAACATAAGATAAACTTTAATGAACTAGTTCAACAAATACACATAAGTATTTTGGTATCTACTATATAGTAGAAGTAGTAGGGCTTTTTATTATTACTATTTTTCCTAAATTGTTTAATACATTTCGATGAAGTTGGTTAAGTTAATTATGATATGTTTTAGTTTTTTTTTCAGAGCAATAAGGTTATCCATTTTATTAAGTTCCATATTTTGAAGTATTATTTTGTTATGTAAGTATAGGCCACGGTATATTAAAGTAAATCGCGAGAATTTTGTTTTTTTTAAAGGCAAGGTGAAGTTGTCTGTTCCTCGTGTGATATATTTGTTTACGATGATATGAAAAAAGCTATCAGTAAATTTTAGTAAAGAGTTATCAAATAACAAATGGCTTTATCAAAACTTTTTCAGTAATGTTACTGTTTAATTTTTTTTTAAACTTAAGTTTTAAAGATTTTTATAAATATATATATTTTTTAAATCTTTATACTAACTCGGTGTAGTTAGGGCAATTTTAAAATATAATAGCGCCTCTATGATATTTTGTTGACTATGACATAAATTTTCCGTTAAATAATCAAGTCTGTGAAAAAATAAAAAAAATTAAAATGATAAATTTTGCGGTAGCGAAAATTCCTAGACGGAAGATTTTTTTTTCAATTGTGATTTTAAGAAAAAACTTTTTTTTCTTAAAATCACAATTGCTTGTCCAAACTTTAATAACATTTTTAGGTGAAATGAACGTCAAGGTTTTTTTAGGTGAAATGAATGTCATAGTTTAATAATATGATATGCTCTGATCGTTTATAAGCAAATTTTCTAATTATATGCTCTTTCTTGGTCGGAGTTCTAGTATTTTTTGTGAAAATTGATAAAATCTTGTATTTTGACAACTATATAAAGTTAATATACGACAGAACCGATTAGAACTAGAATATTTAGTGGGTTAAGACACTTTTTCAAAAGATTTTTCATGTTAACGCCAATAATCTAAAGACTTAAAATGGTGTTCTTTAAATTCACTATTAGGGGTAGTAAAATAGTTTTTAAAATTATATATATATATATATATATATATATATATATATATATATATATATATATATATATATATATATATATATATATATATAATATTTCTTTAAATATTATATATATAAAATATTTCTTTAAATATTATATATATATAAAATATTTCTTTAAATATTATATATATATATAATATTTCTTTAAATATTATATATATATATAATATTTCTTTGAATATTATAAAAAAACCGAAGCAAAATAAAATTATAAATCTAAAGCTCTCGCTTGGACTTAATATGCTGAGAAAATCATGCTTATTCCAAATAAAGGAATTCGAATAATTTGTAAATCGCCTTAACTACACCGAGAACAAAGCGCTTCTAAATTGTAAAAAATGTCGTTGTCTATTATTAAGTCAAGCATTGTAAAAACTAGTTATAAAAATTTGTCAATGTTAATAGAACGTATCAAAAATTCTAAAGAAAACCATAAAATGTCATCTGGCAGGAGTAATGCCATGCATCTTAATTAATTTGCTTTAAAAAAAAAATTATTAAAGTAGGAATAAATAAGTCTTAAATTTTAATTAAAGTAGGAATAAATAAGTCGTTGGATTAAATAAGAGTTTTTTAAATATTAGAATATGCATTAGTAGACTTAATTTATGTAATCTTTACACATGATAAACTCCTTATTCGCAAAAAAACATATATTATACAAAATATACACTGTGTATTTTTACGTCTACTATACGTCGACTATACGTCTTGGTCCTATAGCATGTATGAAAACAAAATAAAAACCAAGTCCGACAGTCAATGCCGGCATTAATTCTCTTGCTGCTTTCGTGTAAACGCCAGGGAAGTTTGTTTAACTTCGCCAACCAAATTTAAACAAAGCCTAATACCAAATAATTGTTAAACTTTTGTTTCAGAGTTTAACGAATACTCAAAATTTTGATAAACTTCTAACGATTATTGTGAATAAAAGTTTACAAAGTTTTTTGTAACAAGTGCGACACAAATAATTCACTTAGAAGATTATTAGAGATAAATCTTTTTAGACATGATCAATGATTGGGAAAAAAATAATTCAATTTGGGTATTATA